ACCTAGCCACAGCGATCTACACTAATTAAGGAAAGACATGATGCATACGTCAAGAGCAGACCAAGATAGGACATGCTAGTAGGAACTAATGGCATAAAGGAAGCGGCTTTGGGATGATCAAACAAACATGTGTAAGCCGAAGGCATGCAAGGACTGGGGGAAGAGTGGCTGAGCATACTTACTGATCAATGAATAACAACCTACCTCATGGTACTGTCTCTGCGGAAGACTTTACCCAAGATCTTCTTGCATCGATTTCTTGAAACTACTAGTCGACGATTCGGATACTTTAGGAACATGCGACTCCATTTGATGGTCCTCATAGCTGCTCCATTAGGCAGATAGGATAAGTCAGCCAAAACAATGTCATCACCAGCTAAGCACCTCAGAATAGCCTATGTGTTCTGATAGGTGCATAAGAAATTGATAAGGTCATAGTCTGATGTCGATTCATTGGGCTGGCTTGGCAGGATACTTGCAGGTAGCTCGGCTCTCATACATGCTGGAAATACTATCGTCGGCGGGAGTTGGACAAAGCAGAGCCATGAACTCTAAGATGCATTTCGATGATACTAATGCCGATTTGAGGTTGGTAAAGTTTGGCTGGCGGTACGTTGTTATAGTCAAATGCCACCCCACATAGTCGGGCAACTATGCTATGAATAACCCAAGACTACATTAGCCCAACACATGTGAAGGAGCCAAAGCTCGGGCAGCTGAATGTCTAGCCTGGGGTACAAATGTCTGTGCGTGAGGGGAATGGGACGGTTATCGGACCCGAGATCCTGTTATCGAGACGGCGCACATCTTGTTAGCGTTTAGACTGGTTGATGCAACATGTTTTCCTAGTCTTGTGTATAGCTTGGCGCTTGGTTGAGTTCATGGTTCGAGCCGAACACCTGTCAACGCCCACCAATTCTTCCCGCTATTCTTGGAAGTTGCAAGTGGGTAGGGATTCCGGCTGATGAAAGATATGTTAGCAAAGTTGCCAAGGGATGGGTGGTTCCACGCAAGCACCCCAGTCGCTGAAGTGTGTCGCGTGGTCTGATATGGTCCACCAGGACAGCAATACCAAATGGATCCACACATATATTACCATTGGATTCACCACATCCAGAAGAGCCTCATCGGCTCCAAGACCAACATGATGCTGAGTAGCTTTGATACTGGGACTCGAAACTCGGGCTTGAACAAAACATGACATCAGGAGATGAGTATGAGTAAGAGTACACCAAGAGGGTGTGCTGCTTCCGGCCGCGCTGGTATGGTGGCCAAGCTGTACGCCTTAGCTAAGACATGTTGCCATGCAGGGAAAGCCGGGAAAGTGGCCCTAAGTGTGTGCACGGCCGACGTTACCGAGTACAACGACTCATTAACACTCGCTGTTTCGCCGCATCTTGGCTAGCCGTCCCGCTTTATTATCGTCTTGGAAGCGGCTGCATTCGAGATGGCATGCAGATAGCTGGAACTCTTTATCCATCCCGTAGCCCAGAGTACGTGGAGTCAGAGGTGAGCCTAGAAGGAGGAGGATCGAATACAGTGTGGGTGTGTGCAATCCAGAGGCGTCTGCAATTTAGGGAGTTGTGACACAGTGCTACGTCCGAGGTGCTGGATGACCAAAGTTTTTTTTTCCAGGTGATCAGCATTGGGGTATGTGGTAAGAGGCGCTGCTGGGTGCGGAGGTTCGTCTATGTAACCATACCAATCGACCGGCATGTCCGACAACGGTCGTCGAAACAGGCGTGCCGTTCCCTCCATGGGGCGACCCGCTTTACCCCGCGCAGGTCACGTGCCAGTGCCGAACAGTCGATTCTCGCTACAGCGCTCTATACAAGGCCAGCCCGCCAAGCTCGTCTCATGCAGCCTTCGCGCAGACACCCGCCTATCGCTTCTCATCATTGGAAACGCCAACCATCGGCAAGGCTTCACCTAGTCAGCCGCCAAGCTTGCCGCCGCCCAGACTCGCTGCCACGGTGTCGTCGATGGCTTGGAACAGCAGGTGTTGGGTGCATGGTGGACCGATTTTCGCCTCCAGGTATTTCCCCGCGGGGAAAGACAGTAGCGCGCCTCGTGGTAGTCTCACGGTAGCGGACTTGGCCATGTTGTTTTCGAGACGAAGCCCACGGGCATAAAGCTGCCTCCAGTCCTTCTGCCCACAAAAGGCCACAGTCAGGCGTCTAGCCATATCACTCCATTCATCTTTCCATCCAACAAGTTCACTGCCATCCAACATATGGGTTGCTTTAACACTCATGCCTCGGGGACCTTAGACCCACCAGAGGTCCGCAATTGGCGGATCCACACCATTGCCCTTATCGCGTCCATGTCGGCGCTGGCCAGTAACCCTCTCTGGTCTTTTTTCTTAGTGCTTGCCATACTGACGCCGATGCAGTGGGCTACGACACGGCCGTCATTGGCGGTACCATGGCGCTCAACTCGTTCATTCGAGACTTTGGCCTCAATGGTATCCCAAAAGCAAGTCGTGATACCATTCAGGGAAATATCGTCTCTACTTTCCAGGCTGGCTGCTTCTTCGGTGCAATCTTCGCGTTCCCCTTTGCCGAGCGTATAGGGCGCAAAAAGACAATGATAATAGCTTCTTCCATCTTCCTGCTCGGCGGTACGCTCATGACTGCATCCCAAGGTAAACTGAACATGATCTATGGTGGCCGTGCTGTAGCCGGCCTAGGCATTGGCGCTTCATCCATGGTAGGCATTGACCATCGTACATTGTCTATACCGGGCAAAGACTGACTTCCATAGGTGGTACCTGTATATATTTCCGAAACTGCCCCACCCTCAATCCGTGGCCGACTTGTCGGTATCTTTGAGATTGCGTCCCAAGGTGGCGGTATGCTCGGCTTCTGGATCAACTATGCTGCCGATCGAACCATCAACGTCAACTCCACGACACAGTGGATCGTCCCACTTGCCATCCAACTTGTTCCTGGCTTGTTGCTCCTTCTCGGTGTCGCATGGTGCCCTGAATCGCCCCGTTACCTTGCCAAGAAGGACAACTTCGAAGGCGCTCAACGCATTCTATGCAAGATTCGCGGTCTTGACGAATCTCATGCTTACATTCAACATGAGATGAGCGAGATCCGTGCTCAGGTTGAGGAGCGCAGTGCCAACCGCAAGAGCAAGAAGGACCAGTTTATGAAACTCTTCCAAAAGGGTGTCCGAAACCGCATGGCGATTGGACTTGCCCTCATGTTCTTGCAATCTTTCACCGGCGTAAGTGCATATGCGGAACCCAACCAAGATGACATATTTCTAACGCACTCAGGTAAACATTATCACCTACTACGCACCACGCATCTTTGAGACTCTTGGTATCTCAGGTACATCCCTTAAGCTCTTCTCCACCGGCTTCTACGGCATTGCAAAGACGCTTGGCATGTTCACCTTCACTTTTTGGGTCGTTGAAAAGGTTGGTCGCCGCAAGGGTTTGATCTGGGGTGCCGCTCTTGGTTGCATTCCAATGTGGTACATTGGTGGCTACGTCATGAAGGCAGACCCAGCTGGTGCTGCACTCAGGGGAGATGTCTCACGAAATGGCTGGGGCTACCTGGCCATGGTATGCGTCTATGTCAACGCATTCATCATTTGCGCTACATGGCAAGGTATTACCTGGACCTACGCATCCGAGATTTTCCCCTTGGATATTCGCATGCTCTGCGTCTCGCTTACCACTGCCGATACCTGGCTTGGTTCTTTCATCATTGCCCGAAGCACTCCCTACATGATCTCTGACCTAGGTTATGGCGCATATTTCTTCTTCGCCTCTATCCTTGTCGGCATGGGTATCTGGAGTTTCTTCTTCGTGCCCGAGACAAAGGGTATCAGTTTGGAGGAAATGGATGCGCTCTTCTTGCGTCCAATGCACAAGGCGGTATGGGCTCAACTTCGTGGCAAGCCCATCCTTACCCATGAGGAGGTTGTTGCGAGAAGCAAGGGATTAGATACGATGGGAGAAAAGGAGTATGGTATTGAAACAATAGAAGCCGTCAAGAGGTAAGACGCGCGCTCGGCGGCTCGAGGAGCGGGATCTTTGATATCTCAAAGACCTCATAATAACTCCTTGGTCGCCGAAAGAAGTCGGAATCCCTTTCATCACGGCATGGCACGAATGAACAATTTTCTGACTTCAAACTTATTACCAATTTGCAAATGCTCTATTTGGTAAAGAATAGGTCAACCCTCCTTGTACTAAGCACTGTAGTTTCTCAGCCAAAAAAGCCTAGTTCAACGCCGTGCCTGACGGCGCTCTTGGCATGGATCCTTCCACCCCTTGGCATCCCGCCTCCCGCTGGGACAGCGGCTGATAGTGGCTTGGGGCTCCTGTCGGTATCATTAAAACTACCGATAGCATCGGGGATGCTGCCGAGGTCACAAGACTACGCTATTTCGCACAACTAGCCGCGCCAAGCGATGTCACGGAGGAAACTACGGAATGTTAGCCGACCTGTCAGCGTACGCAAGTGATGTTTTTTTTTTTGAAGCGGCGGGGGAGTCTTGGCTCTCGTACGATGAACAGCGGTACCAGATGAAGCCAAGAAGGACGCCTCGGACCTTTGTATGCTGTGTCTGCAAGTTTTCAATTTTGTTCTAGGACTCATACATATACTTATTGACAAGAATCATGAAAGTACTCGCAAAATGAACTTTGCCCGCATGCTAGACCAGACATCGATGGCGTTGTTAGTGTCGCCATCTTCAGAGCTGCCCCCCTTACTGCATCGGCCGGAGTTCCCTTGGTTGAACATGTACTTAGATTGCGAGCAGCCAACGCGGATACACCTCCAGCAAAACGTCCAACACACTCTTCAGCCCGTTGTTTTTTCTACAAATATGCAATTTGAAGTAACCGAAAATATTTTTCCACTACAGTAATTAAATTATATAGCTCATAAATCGACTCGAATGGAAAAGGTATTCGATCCAAAGTACTGAAAACTTGTATTTCCTCACACTTCCCGACCTCTGTCGATAACTGTCACTCAGCTTTCCAATGGCTTTGCGCCTGCAAGTTGACCAGCACCCGCAATTATTACAGGGCTGAGCGGCTTATCCCCAGGACCAGTTCGAGTCGATTCAATCTTCCGGATTATATCCATGCCGTCTAGGACCTCGCCAAAGACGACATGTTTCCCGTCGAGGTGTGGTGTAGCAGCGGTCAAAATGAAGAATTGCGACCCATTACTGTTAGGTCTACAATGCTCCAGTCAGTACACGTATCCGTTGCCAAGTACAGAAACCGACTTACCCAGAGTTCGCCATACTCAGCAGCCCAGGGTGGGTGTGCTTGAGTTGGAAGTTCTCGTCGTCGAATGATTCGCTGCCGAAGATGCTGGCACTACCAGTGCCGTCACCTCTCATAAAATCGCCGCCTTGGATCATGAAATTGGGGATCTAAGTTGCTGTCAGCTATGAGTCGCCGATGTTTTTGTATAAACATGACCTACAACGCGGTGGAAAGTGCTGCCCACATATCCTCCAACTTTGCACTCGCCAGTGCAAAACTGCCTAAAGTTCTCCGACGTTGCAGGGACCACATCGAGGAATAGCTCCATTTGTACGCGTCCGACCGGCTGTCCTCCAATGACAATGTCAAAGTATACTATCGGGTTGTCCGGAGACCGCCGCGCTTTGACCGTTGCGCCCTCACCGGCCACAGGTGTGTTTACGTCGTGCTGTACCGGACGCGCCATCTCTGTGGGCTTACTAGCATTCTTCTCTTTGCTGCCTCCGCAACCCATGTTTGGTTCGATTTCTCGGCAAAGACAAGTCTGTAAAAGTTAATTAATAGCGGAAACCTCAATCGACGGTAAGTAGTAAGAACCGGCCAAATAAGGAAGAGATGATTTGCGCAGCGAAGTTGCAGATCAAGGAAACAAGAAGCTGAGTAGTGACGATGACCTCATACATCGAGCGCCACTGGCGTTGCTAGGCGCGTCCTATACCGCGGAGACGACCGTGTCCTTGGAAAAAAAAATGACCTCATCAGTTATATATTTTGTTTTTCTGTTGACATTGAAAAATGAGCTTTGCGCACTGAGATAACGGAATGCTATACACTGTATGTGTCAATCTGTCTGCTTCGAAATCATCTCTTCGTCACGCTTTTCACTTGGCAGCTGTGATGCTAATTGCTGACCCGAGATATAGCAATAAGGCTACACCAAAGCATTGCGTTCAAACTCTAACATTGTCTGATCAGCACCAATTATGGATGAACGGGTTTTCACTATGCCATGGACTCACTCAGAACCCATCAACGCAAACACACTTAGATAGACAAAACTAGTAAAACCAGAATGGCGCTAATTCATTACTAGAAATTAATCTAATGACTCGGTCTAATCTAATATCCATCTACAAACATTTTAACATAAAGACAGGATAAGACGGGTTCCTGCGCAAGCGAAAGTGGAGGTTCCGTCTCACCCGGCCCGGGCCGGCTTGATATCTAGCCACTACCCAGAATCTCTTTGGCAACCCGCTCTCCACTCCGAATCGCGCCTTCCATGTATCCAACCCAATACTCGCTCGTTTCTGTGCCGGCAAAATGGATACCGCCAACACTCTCCCTCAGCGCCGAGCCATACTTGGTCAAAACTTGCGGTGGAGCAAGGGCGACTGGTCCGCCCCTCGAAAACTCCTCCAAGTCCCAGCGTTGAAGCACGAACTCGGTAACGTTTCTCGCTTCATCTCCGTAGTACTTCACACAGGTGTCTATGATCTGCTTCTGGGCTTCTTCTGCGCTGAGTTGGTCAAGAGCTCGCATCTCGTCTCCAAGGATGAAGCCAAGGATTGCGCCGAAAGAAGTGTCTTCGGGAGTGCTATCAAAAGTCACTCGTACGGGGCCAGAGTTGGAAAGGACTTGTCCGCTTAATCCTTCTTTGCGCCAAAAGGGTGTCTTGTAGATCGGTATGCCTTTTCCGATTGCGGGCATTTTGGTATCGGAATTCAAACGCTGACGACTCTCGGGAAGCTCCGGCTGGAACTTGATCTGATGAACGAGTGGGGGTGCCATGGCGAGTACCACCTTCTCTGCGCGGACCTTGCCGGCGCGCGACTCGATTTCATAACCAGAGTAGGTCCTGGTGATTTGAGTGACACCCGCGTTGAACGCAATATGCTCAGTGCCCACCTTTTTAGCCAGACGCTCCGGGATAAGACCTGTACCGCCCACTACTCGCTTTTCTTGAGCTCCTCCCGTTGTAGCAGACAATCTTTCCAAGTTTCCGACCGTCGTCTCGTTTCCGGCAGCGGCGACGTATGCCAGGAGATACAACAGTGAAAGCTCACGTGGCTCCGCGGCAAAAATGGATTTGCAGAATGTGGCTAGTGCGAATCTAGCATTCGACACAAGATTCAGTGTATCCAAGTATTGATCAAAGGTAATGCTGTCCCACTCGGATGCTTTTGGGTGCGACCAAGGTGCCTCCGGATTTATTTCAGCTGCCCAAGCGTCCAGCTGAGTCCTCGTACTGGCGATCTGCATGAGTGCTGCTTCTTCAAGCGGCGGCGCACCACCAAGTTGGGGGTCCGGGTTGTAAATTGACCTTGTACCGTTAAGGTACAGCACCGTCTCGCCCTCAATGTAGGTGTCGAATGTTTCCAGTCCAAGGTCGGCTATCATTTGAAGTACTTTGTCCTGAGTTGGACCCACGAATTCGGCACCGACTTCTGTGACACCGCCATTCTTCAACGGTTTGTTGTAAACTTTACCGCCGACACGATCTCTCCCTTCGAACACAACCACGGATTTACCGGCTTTGAGAAGATCGCGTGCTGCTGTTAGTCCTGACAGGCCTGCACCGATGACAGCAACATCGACTGATTCAGGCACAGCTGCTGCTGAAACAAGAGCTATGATTGAAGGTATAAGAAGGAGCATGGAGCTGTATCGTGATAGCGAAGAAGGCTTCGAGAGACCCATGATGAAAGCAGTCAAGTAAGAAATAGAACGAGTGTTTGGAAAATGTTTGATATTATTGGAAGTGTTGGTGAACATCTTCTGTGGCGCTCCTGTCCTACTATATACTTGAGCAAATCCTTCGAGCACATCGTGCTGAATGACTTGCCCTTGGGAATGATAGACTGCGGTTGAGGGCTAACAGACTGCGGCTGAGAGCTAGCAGGGGCTGATGCTCGTCATCACTGCTGTGTCGGAAAACTAAGAAGACCGGATCGGACTTTCGGGCTGTTTCTAATGAAGCATTACTAGCGTTGTCAAACGAGGCATTAGCGCTGTCAAACGAGTGACTGCAATTTCACAACACACGCCGGTTCATCTGGATATTTTTTGGAACAAACTTTGCATACGCATTTGACATTGATTTCGCAGAACGTAAGGGATGGCAGCATCACATTCATGACGCCTGACATGCATATAATTAGTATACGCGTGGATAGTCATTGTTGTGGTGTTCGTCACTAGATTGCCAAATGGGGAATGCCAAGGTTTCCGATGTAGAAAGCCGACACACCACTTATAGATTGTTTACCTCATAAATTGTTTACCTCATTAGGTCCCAGTGGTAATCTCGCAACTAGGCATCCTATAGAATCATCATATCCTTGTACTACAAGGTAGCAGGACTATGTTTTTCACGACTAAATGGCGATCCCGGCGATCCTGGAGCGATTGCATCATGTCTCCTTGTACATTACGATACACATTTTATGTATGTCCAATACGCCTATCTGAGGACCGGTTGGGCGAGTTGTTGAGTAGATTGGTTGCCACTTGGACAAGGAGCACCCTTGATGGGAAAAATAGCCCTACTACACTACCCTTTTACGCACACAGTTGCAGCAATGACTGCTGCGCCTTGCATGATCGGATTGGCTCGGGTCACTATGTAGTGATGGCTAAGAACTCGGAACATAAGCCCACTATATCATCTCCCTCAATACGAATTTAGTTGATGTCATATACCAAATATTCCGTTTCTAATCCCGATAGGGCAAACGCAACGTCGATGAATTTGCCTGATTGGAGATTGTGTGTCTTGGTAATGGCTATGCACTGGCGGCTACTTCCCTGAGATTTTCTCGGATCCTACGTGCAGATGATGTTCTCAGTATAGATTGGTTCGCCGGTCACATGATCCGTCATTTCGAATGTGTAAGCGCCAGGCTCATTTCAATGAGCAAAGTGCCAATGTTGATTTCAAATGCTCTAATCCTAGGATCCTTTGAACAACAACGAGTTGTGTACATGGTATATTGCAACTTCTCATATATCATGCAGCATACGGTGGTTCCTAACGAAGTAACAAATGATAGGTTTATCAGTTTTTCATACCAAAATTTTTTACTTCTCTATATTGAGGAGTAAATCAATAGCATGTTTGGACTATTACATTACAAACCAGTTTCAGAATGGTACTCCTGTATGTTCTGCCGTATGTGAGAAGGCGCATTTGTCCCATACCCAATGTGCTGGTTGTGCTTTTCCATGCCACTAGCGCCAGATACTAGTCCGATGGGTCATCGGAAAAGAATCCGTGCCAAAAGCGTGTTAGTGACTCATGGAACTGGCTTTGTTGAGTATGACTGTATGTACATGTACACATAGCTCAAAGCTTGCAAGAGAAGAAAAAGCATCTTCTGAGTCTTTGTCTTCTCCTTTGGCACAGAGAGGCTTCACCAGTTCTAGACATTTTCCCTATAAATATGGCCCAGCCAACGTCAGACACCAAAATCTTTGTAGCGGCAGACGAAGCAGAGAGGTTTGTGCGAGAGGTGCTTATAGGAAATGGGGTCCCTAAAAATAACGCGGAGATTGTCGCACGCTGTCTAATTGCAGCAGATTTGCGTGGGGTTGACACACACGGGATGAATCGTATTCCTTCGTACCTTGAACGCGTCCGGCAAGGAGTCCTGGACGGCACGGCAACACCCAAAGTCAATCAGATTACGCCTGCTGTAGCTCAAGTTGATGGAAGAAATGGATGGGGCTTCGTTGCTGCAGATGCGGGCATGGCTGCCGCTATTGAGTCTGCGAGGGTGAGGCGAGCGCCTACTATCATTGGGTTAAATCAGCACTAAGAAAACACATGTAGGTCTTCGGCATTGGAATGGCCAGCGTCAAGCATTCTAATCATTTTGGAATGAGTGCATGGGTTGTTCAGAAAGCTTTGGATGCTGACATGATGAGTCTCGTCTTTACCAATTCTAGCCCTGCTTTGCCGGCATGGGGAGGAAAGTCCAAGCTACTAGGCGTGTCACCGATAGCCTGTGGCGCACCTGGAAACGAGAATCCGTTTATTCTCGATATGGCACCGTCGATTGCAGCAAGAGGCAAGATCTATAAAGCGAAAAGGAGAGGGGAACCGATTCCTTCGGATTGGGCCTTGGACAAGGACGGAAATGCGACAACAGATCCTACCGCAGCTCTTGACGGGGGTGTGATGCTTCCAATGGGTGGTCCAAAAGGGTCGGGTCTGGCCATTATGATGGATATCTTTTCTGGGGTCTTGTCTGGGTCCGCCTTTGCAGGAAATGTCACTGGTCCATATGATCCCTCCAAGCCATCTGACGTTGGCCATTTCTTGGTTGCGATTAAACCAGATCTTTTCATGAGCCTGCAAGAATTCAGAGATCGCATGCAATACCTCTACGACAAGGTTGTCGGCGCAGATAAAGCGGCTGGAGTAGAACGTATATACTTTCCTGGGGAGTTGGAGCAGTTGCAGCAGAAAGAGCGCGAAGCAACGGGTATCCCATTAGTACAGGCTGAGATTGATGCACTGAATGGTGAAGCGTCAAGGGTTGGAGTCAGATCTCTGCAGGTCAAATCACCGTAATTTATTGTTCCCGTGAGTATTTTGAGCTAATGGCACGTCTGTAGCCATAGAAGCCAAATATCATTAGTTTGCCAACTTGGCCAATGCATCTCCCTCGACCCGTAATCCCACCCATTCGTTTTTCCTCTTCGCACCAATTACTTCACTCTGATAGAAATTGAGGCTGGGCTCATTCCAATCCAAACAACTCCATTCTAGCCTCTTGCCTCCAACCTCGAGAACTAATGCCGCGAGCTCTTTCAACAGCCTCTTACCATAGCCCTTCTTCCGATATGCTTCTTTTACGAACAGATCCTCGAGATAAATTCCTGGGACACCAGTCCAGGTACTGAAATTGAAGAAGTAGACTGCCATCCCGGCTACGGTTCCATCTGGGTCAGTGATGAGGAGAGTACGAGCAAAGCCTTGGGAAAATGTAGAGGTCGAAGGGTCGTAGTGAGCTAGAGTGCGGCCAAGAATTTCCTCGGTAGCTTCGACCTTGTCACTTGCGTTTTCGTAGTCTGCAAGTTCGCGGATGAGAGCCAAGATAGTGGGAATGTCTAGATGACGGACATTAGTGTGGATTTGTTGTATAGCCAGGAGGTCAAGTGTACCTTCACGACATGCGTGGCGAAGTGATGCGTGGCCGGACGACATTGTGTACTCGGAGGATCTTGGAGGATGCTGCAAGCGTGCGGAAGAAAGGAATCCGGGTCATGGCCGGGCTTGTTACATGTGTACATACACGCCCTATTGTATACATGCGTGTCGCGTTGCGGGGCTCGCCTACGTCAAGAGTGGGTAGTTGAAAAGATGCCCCGCACTCAGGGCAGCTTTTGTTGGCGCGTGGGCGCACGAGCCGCAGCCGCACGCTTTCTCTTCCACTCGTCCAACTCCTTGCGCAAAGGGTTGTCCTCTGGAAGGAACTCGACGAAAAAAGGAAAACGCACATATTCTCCATCGGCATTGCGTGGCTGCACATGGGCAGATTTGTCCAAGACGTGTTGCTTTGGTGTGTGTGGAATGTGTCCTTTTGCATCCACACCAGCAAAGAGGTCATAGTCCGTTGGTGCGGCGTAGAGCTTGGGCTTGATCGTCTTGTTGGGCTCACCCCAGATGGCCTTCCAGCGCTTCGTTTCTTCGTGGTACTCGAGCTTGCAACAGAGAGTGAGGATCTTGGTGTACAGGCGTCTCATGAACTTAGGGGTGATGGCGTGGGGACGGTGCATGCCTGCAGGCCTGTCTGCTCTATTAGGTTTACTCAACGCCATGGCTTCATGCAGGGTGCTGGCAAAGAGGGTTTCTGGTGTAGCAACGCCATCAGGGCCAGCAGCAGTAGTGGCAAGGGAGGCTTTGGCCCTTGGCTTGACCAAGTCAATGGGCTGATGACCGAGCACCATGGCATGCATCGTATCCCACTCGTGAGCGGGCAGGGGCGGGAGGACCCTCGTCATGGTCTCAGCATACCATCGTCGGACGTTGTTACGCGCCCTCCTGATGGGCATGGGGCGGCCCCAGACATTGTGTATGGGTGTGTTGAGGTGGTGGCCCTTGAGCTCGCGTTGGATGGAAAGGCCCTTCTGGTGCTGCGACCTGATGAGGGCGCGCAGGCGCGAGAAGCGACCCGAGATGGCGATGGTGCAGTGTGTCTTGGAGACGGGCACAGGGGCGGCGAACAGGCCCAGGCACCGCGCAGAAGTGTAGTAGAGCTGGTGGAGCGGGGCCGGGGGCACCTCGGCAGCAGCGGTAGGGAGCGGCAGTTTGCCGCCGTCCATGATGGCATCGGGCCTGAGGAGGGGGGCCAACAGCGTGTGCTTGCGCCTGCCCACGCGGCCGTATGCAAGGAAAAGGACCTTTTGCAGACAGGCAATATCGCCCTGGTTGGCACGGCGGAGAAGAGCCAGCCCTTTGCGCGCCTTGCGTAGCAACCGCGGGATGCGGGTGTGTATGGGTGAAGGTGTGGCTGCATCCGTGGCTGTGGCTGTGGCTCGGCCTGTGGCTAGTGACTTGTGGCTGGGCTGGTAGGCCTTGAAGCGGGAGACAATGTAGCGGCCAAAATAGGTGCGGGCAGTGGCATCGGGCAGGTATGAGGCCTCGCGCAGTAAAGCACGCAGCATATGCAGAGGCTGTCCGGGTGCAGCCATGGAAGACGACGGCGAGAATGACGGCGACAACGACGACGACGACGATGGAGAGGCCAAGGAATGCGACGGGGAGAAAAACGACGACCATCATGACTGAGGATTGCGCTACCGCACGGGCACCCACAGCCGACAGACGCGTTGGACGCGCATCTCCGCTTCTCTCCACCACCACTACCACCACTTCCACTACACACATCAACGGCACGGCACGACACGACACGACGCCGACGCCGGCGCACCCCTCTGCCGCCCTGCAATGACATGATGCAAGTCATGTCCACTTCACATTCCTTCCCCGCCGCCTCGCCGTCGCACCAACAGTCGGCTCTGTATGCAAACTCGCCCCACGGCCACGCCCTTATGGCTGCCCCTGCTGCCTTGAATCGCTCCTTTTCCGACATGAGCGCCTTCCACCATCATGCCATGGACAAACCTCAGATATATACCGTAGGCCTTCCTTTACTAGCCACATTCCTCCAGTCACCCTGCCATGCTGACTCCCCTCCCTCCTCTTAAAGGCCGTCTACTCGGGCGTATCCGTCTACGAAATGGAGGTCAACCGTGTCGCCGTCATGCGCCGCCGCTCTGACGGCTGGCTCAATGCTACCCAGATCCTCAAGGTTGCCGGCGTCGATAAGGGAAAGCGCACAAAGGTATTGGAAAAGGAGATTCTTACTGGAGAACACGAAAAAGTACAGGGCGGTTACGGAAAGTACCAAGGCACGTGGATCAACTACCGCCGCGGACGCGAGTTTTGTCGCCAATACGGCGTCGAAGACGTCCTGCGCCCGCTTCTCGACTACGACATCACCCTCGACGGCAGCCATGCACCGGGTCACGCCATAGAAACCCCTACAAAGGAACAAGCCATGGCTGCCAACCGCAAACGCTTCTACACACAAAGCATCGATGGCCGCACCACTACTCAAAATCTCACAGGTACCTTTTTCAGCAACATCTCGTCGACAGCCACGAGTGCCCTTGCAGCAATGAACAAGGTTGCGCGACTCAATTCGCCTGCTCCCAGACCATCTTCTTCGTCCCAGAGGCGCACAAGCGCCACACGTCCGTCGCAGTCGCAGCCTCCTCTCACCAGCCAAGATTCGTTTCGCACAAGCAGCCAGCAGAGTATCACCTCGGAACCAAGCTTCACCGGACACAACGGCCAAACAGATTCCGCCTATGCCACTGCCGTCGATGAATCACAGGAACCACCAAGAAAGCGCATTCGGGCCTCCCACGACGAATCCTATTCCCAACCTACCGCGGCTGATATGTCGATGAACCCTATGAGCTCGCCAACGGAACCAAGTGAGAGCTTCGATCAGCACCATCCCGCACAGCCCATTACTCTTGCCGACGGCGATGTCCCCACAGCTTTACCGCCATTACCATATCCCGACACCAAGCAAGATGAAGAGAAGCAGGCTATGCTAACAGATTTGTTTGCGGATCAGACGAGGTCAGATTTCACAAACCATCCCGCCATATTACATCTCTCCGGCCCAGATCTCGATATGCCTATCGATAACTCGTCCAACACAGCCCTCCATTGGGCGGCGACACTGGCCCGTGTCTCCTTGATCCGACTACTGGTATCCAAAGGCGCAAACATGTTTCGAGGAAATGCTTCCGGCCAGACTGCTTTGATGAGTGCCGTTTCGGTGAATAATAGCCTGGATCACAGCTGTTTCCCGGAAACCCTAGAGATTCTGGCCCCTTTGATCGAGCTACGCGATTCCCAAGGACGAACAATATTACATCACATTGCGGTCACGTGCGCCATCAAGGGGCGTGCAGCCTCGAGCAAGTATTACCTTGAGGCTCTCCTTGAGTATCTCGTCCGCAGCAATATTGGTGGCGGTCAACCACCTCCGTTTCATGATACCAGTAATCACTCTAAGCCTATCGGCTTGATGAGGTTTATGCAGGAAATGGTAAATGCACGGGACAAAGCTGGCAACACGGCCTTGAACCTGGCAGCGCGGATAGGCAACCGCAACATCATCTCTCAGCTCATGGAAGTTCAGGCCGACCCCACCATTCCGAATCACAAAGGCACGAGGCCAATGGACTTTGGAGTAGGCACCGACCTGGGCGATGGACAAGGTCTCATCACAGCGACCAGCCCCACAAAGGCCAAGGCACCGCTGAGTAAAGCTGAGGAAACGAGCCGAGAGATACAACCTTGCAAGTCTCCAGCCTATCTGCACATGATTGTATAGCTAACTTGATAGCAGTAATGAGTGGCATCCTCCAGTCGGCGTCGTTGCAGTTTACGCAAGAAGCGCGTTTGAAGCAAGACGCTATTGATCAAACTAACGAGCTTATTACACAATTATCTAGTCAGCAGAAGCAAGAACAACAAAAGCTACAAACACTTCGTGCCCGCTTACGGCAAAGACAAGATCGTGCCAAACGGATATCGAATCTCAAACGATGGCTAGAACCTCAACGACATATGCTTTCAGTCAACGATGGTGCCATTGATTTGCACGATAAGAAAAGAATCGGGTATGCCGATACCCAAGGTGCAGGTTTGCTCATCAAAGAAGACGACCTTCCCTATGAGCTTCGACAAGCGGGAGACCACCTGGATAGGCGTGCTTCTGATGGCCCAATCTATCTATCGACGTCAGTACCTTTAGATCCATCTACGCTCAGCCAAGTGTCGCATCAACCCCAATGTCAGAATTTCCTTCTCCAACAACTACCAGCTGCATCTGTTCTTCGGCAGCGGATTGAGACGTACACTGCTACCAACACGGCACTTCTCAAGCGTAGCAGAATGTTGAAAGAAAAGGACGGACAGCTAGAGATGATGTATCGCAAAGTTGTCAGCCTGTGTACGAAGGTAGAAGAAAACCGAATCGAGGAGTGTCTCGAAGGTTTGGTAGCCGCTTTGGACAGCGAAGAAGGCGAAGGCGTCGAAGTTGGTCGTGTAAGAGAGTTTTTGAGAAAAGTGGAGGGTGTCGAGTAGGCGATTGCTCGCTGATCATGTTCCGATCATACCCGGATTCGAGATGTTGTCCCTGCTACATATCATTCTTTCTGCTTAGCTCTGTTTGTTTTGCACCGTGGTACATGGGTAGGCTGGCGTTACGTCATGGATACCAGCCCGGCGAGGCTACCGGGTGGCGTATTCTTCTTGCAATGTGAATGAAGTGTTAATTCAAAGGATGATACCCATCCACATGTGTTCTATCAGTGTGTTCCTATGTAAGAGTCAAGAGACCTGTCTAGCCGCCTGTTTTTTTTTCAAGCGAGTCTCTTTGAGCGGGTCCCTTTCTAGGGCGGAAGATTCGCGACGGCACTTTGCAAACTTAGTCCGCATCATTCCGTTGCTGTCTTTCTCCCAACTGCCACTATGATTCAGGCGCATCTCACGGACGGAGAAATTTAGAGTTCCTCGCTAGGTCGGTCCCCAGACTATCGTATTTTCCATGAATCGCATGGTATGCAGCTATGGAAATCTTGTTTCGTTTCTCGAGCTACTTCTCTAACTACTTGCGTGGCTGACAGCAGCCTGTGAAGTAATGCAGCTTTTTTTTTCAACACTTGTCCCAGTCATGATGATACGACCGCTGCTCTGACCTCAAGAATACGGGCTGGTCTTTTGCCGATGCCCGCTCTTGCTGATGAAAGTAGTGATAGAATTTGCCGCGTCACAAAGCCATAATCCAAATACCGATGAGCACAGAAGCTTTTTGCGATACCCACATTTCTTCGTAAGTTGGATCAGAAAGGCAGAAGATGCTCGCCTCACGCCGCATCTGTGAGTCAAACGTGCAGTTGGGATCAGCTATGTCACATCTCCCTATCGAGCTAAACGGTGCACATATTGACGTCATTGAGCCTTTTTCAGTATTGATCGACGATGTCTGGTTGATGGATATGCAGGAATTCGAACCTTGGAGGGGGGAGGGGCGCCAGGGCGTCCACGCTTTGAGTAAGGTTGCTGTTAGCAGACTACCAGTAGCCATTTATCCGTGGTGCCAAAGATTCGACCCTGTTACTAGAAACTTTCGAGAATCAAACTGAAGCTTTGTATGCGGATGGGGTGTCATGTAAACAATACCAGCCAGTGCCCTACCAGAGGTGCCTTACCAAACATGAGCACACATGCAGTACTATGCTCTTGCTCTGTCCACTTATTTCCAGAGGATACGGTTTACTGATACGATCGTCTAAAGCTTCGGCGCCTATTCTCGTGATGTTCTAGCAGAATTCCCCATTTGTTGATAGTGTTCTCGTCGTCAAATAGCTGATCTTAGTACCGTCGGAGAAGCTGCACACAGCTCACCCGTGAAGAAGGGAAGAGCGCTATGGTCAGAATCTGTACGGAGCACGTGGCTCGACAAAAGGATGCAGCAACCATTGCAACAAAGTGTCACCTTCACAGCCATCACCGAAAAACAAAACTTGGTACTCACATACCGCAATGGCTGCTCAAGACCGAGAAGGGTTAGAGAAGATGCAGTCTTCGCCGTTTAGGCAGCGGTGAAACGGGGACCATGATATACTTACTTTCCTAAACGCCGATGTCAGCAAAGTATGCTTATTCTCAAGTGGCTTCATTCTTTGACGAAAGTTGCCGCTTCTATCGGCATGTACCCCCAATACCTCGACGGCATTTATTCACTCGGTGTCCCTCGTACCCGTCTTTAGCGCACAATATTCGGACCCTTTACAACTCCATACTACTTGGCGTGCACATTATGTCAATCAAAGGCCACCAATTCAAGAGCTCGCCGAGGACCGCGGCTGGCGCGAAGGATAGAGGCAGTGCTATTAGGGAGACTGGGTAGACTTGCGGCGCTTGGAGCGGAAGGAGCAGGAAGCTTACGTACGTAGGAGGCTCTTCAGAGGCGAGCGGAGCAGCGGAGCGGGCTTGCTGCTACCGCGATATGCCCTGCGTCTTGCAACGTGGGGAAATCATCGTAAGCCGCATAGGCGGTTTTGCAGTCAGCAATGCGCCAAGGTGCGGTGAACGGTGTAAGCTTGAATCTTAAGTATAGAAAGACCGGTGAGATGGCCGTGCACCAACGGAGCCGTTAGTAGTAGTAGTAGTATGTACTTACTGCTGTGTGTCCCCGCTGATCATGTGCATACGAGGAGAGATTGCATTACGTGTGCAAAAAAACAGGCCCAGGGTACCGTATGTGGCCCGAGGCTGAAACGGTTGGCTGCGGGTGTATTTTACAGTTGAATTGTCCTTACTCAGCGCTTACTTGTAATGAAATTGGGGGCGCGTACGCTCACGGGGTGCAAGTATTCGTGAGCTGCTTTCTTCCAAGAGATTGGCGCTTCCATAGTACTACAACGATTACTTCAGATGCAGTTGCCAAGAGTTGTTTTGCTGTACACCCTTGGGATGCTGTATTCGAATGGGCGTCTCATCAAGAGCAATATTACAAGACGCAGTTCTTCTAGAACGTGTCTCAATAGTGCTGTCCAGGATCGGTGTTATCTTACACGGCAGGAAGTTATTCCCTTTGACTGATTAAAACATAGTCGTATCTACAGCAACATTCCGCTCCAATCGGCGTATTTTCAGTATTGTTTTCCAGCAAAATATCTCGCCGATGACTAGCTGGAGACGGCGTCCCTTTCCGCCTTCTGCAGCAGCTTTGCGACCAGCCAGGTTGCCGAGCGCTCCGGTGAGGCTAGCACTGTACACAGTAATACATTGGCCATCAAGGGCCGTACCCTATGAGGCGGTAAAAGCCTTCAGGGTCCAGCCCTTGGCCCAATTTCTCAGCAGATTTACTTTGCGCCTTGTGCTTGTACTTATTGTTGGAGGTCGCGACCCAGTGCGCGCTAAGTGTCTTGTGTATACCGGGCAGTTGAGCGTAGCGGCTTGGGCTTCGGTGTTTCAACGGCGGGACAGAGGAGCGAACCACGTTGGCTGCCAACGACACGATGTAACTATCCAGGTGCGCAGGAGCTGTTTCTCTACGAATGCAGTATCCACTTGCTCTACTGTGGTTGCACGTACATCCAGGCTCCAAAAACGAACTAAACAAACGCAGGGCTGGGCACTCCCCCCCCCCCCCCAGAGGTCCACGCATGTCGAGATGTTCCTTGAGAAGCCCACTGGTTTGACGCTAGGCTGCATGAACTGCAAGCACCGGGATGTTGGACGTGGCGACGGGGGGAGATTAGCCCGTTTTTCGGTGAGGAGAGGGCAATAATCATAGATGAAGGTTGAGACAAGATGCCAAGGGCATCTTGTGAACATGTTTGAGCGCCCGTAGACTTTGTGATGCATACGGGATATTTTACGTACAGTGGGGTTCGACGTCGGGGGTGATGGCAAAGAAAGCAGGATCCAAAAATGAACCCTATATGAGGTCGGGATATGGACGGAATACTTGTTGACTACTCGGTGTCTAAACCTAGTATATGTGCATTTTCATCACATGGAATGTTGAGTTCCTATGTACATTGAATCGTTCTCGGTTATCTGCAGCTGCCTCGGGACGTGCTCTCCCACGTAGATCAATTATACTAGGATCAAAGCTACGTAGAGCTTGTAATTCGTGTGAAGCCATGCTTGGCTGGAAGACGCAAAGTCGAAACCCTCGGGCAACGTTACTTAGTAATAAATCCGCCCTTGGGGGGATGCGTGGTCATCTGTTTTGAGGGGTTTTTGCTGGTGTATTTCATAGTAGCGCCGGCTAAGTCCGCTGACTAGCTGCATCGTGCCTGGCGCGGAGAGTTGCCGAAACAGGTTAATTGCGGGTACTATAGCGCCAGACGTATTTGCGTGCGGTCGGCCGACCTGCTTCCTGTGTCCAAGCACCGCCGCGTACATAGTATATCTAAGTACATAGCAGCCCTACCCTACTGACGACGGCCCGAATCAGCGTCGTGGCACTCACGATGCCGCTCGCTAAAGTCTATGCTGCTGCACTCGTGCGACTTACATGGCTTGTTTCATGGGTACCCATACTTTATCGCACATCAAGTTCAACCAACGAGTGCTGGGTGCATATCGTGTGAACACACCATACCCGAACTCTTTATATCTCCCTTTCCATCCGTGCAGTACATACAAGCACCGGACTTCCACAAGCATCCTGTTTTTGGCGACATGGACAAAGCTTTCACCTTCATCGTTGACCACACGGCTCAAGCTGGCCTTGCATCTAAGCGAAAGCTCAGGCGCCGTCGAGGAGCATGTGGGAACTGCAAGCGCAGAAAAGTGGCATGTAAGTATCGCAATGAGTCAGGGACACAAGGATAGGAATAACCAAGCAACACTAGGTAATGGAGCGATGCCATGCCAGCATTGTCATGTATGGTCAATTGGATGAACGTAGTTGTATTTACACTGCCAGAGAATCTAACAAATGCTTCAGAAAGCGTCCATCAGCTGCCAGTACGCTGAAACCAAGCGCTCCGCTCGTAACACAGCCCCAATCAGCGAGGCCGATACTACAATCCGGCAAACAATGACTTCAGACATCAGTACTTCATCAAGTCCACAGGATCTTGAAAATACCGATCGCTTTCCAGACAATTCCACCAACATCTTGACCCCTGATTTCTATTGCGATGAACTAGTCCATGTGTCCGTCTCAGAGGATCCTATGGATCTGTTCCACTGGAATCAATTAGGCGAAGGCTTTGGTGGACCGATTCCCGGACCCTCTCCCCGCCGCGAACAGCTGGAGAGCGTCAGAAACTACGAGGATATTGGCAGTACTGGCTTAGATTCAGATTACTACTCTCAAGATGATACACAATACTGTTATAGTAGTATAAACGATCTGTCAAGAGACCAGACATTGTCAACTTCAATCACCGCTACTGGTATGAGCAAACCCTAGACCTGACTCAATTTAAATCTACTTACGATTCTGACTGAATTGTGACAGAGGAATCACCATATCGCGACCATGTTCGCTCGTCTCTTCACTCTTGGTTACTGACAAGTATAAGAAATTCCAATGGTGAAAAGAACAACCACGTTGTAGAATCATCACAAAAGCTTTTGACAGCAAATTAATCAATAACCGATTATTGTTCCCCTAGAGAAATGGACATAATGGCGGCTCTTACCGACTTACGATGTGAGCGGGCTTTCAACAAAGAATTTCTTCGCGAGCGCATCAATGGTAAATTGATATCCAATCCGTATGAGACAATATAGGACGCTAACATGAATACAAATAGCCTGTTTTCCAGAACTATATGAGTACGTTACACTACTAAACTGACCAAGATTCAGCCGAAGAACATTAGTGTGCTGGTAATCTAACAAATCGTTGAACAGAACTGGAATATACCTGAAGTCCGAAGCTATAGAGGAGCTAATGGACCAAATAGTTTCAAACCCTTTTGTCAGTAGTCCTACTAGTATCGCTTTATGCTTTTCTTTGTTGGCTGTTGGCTCTCGTCGTCTAGACCTCAGTCATGGTAACGGTACAATCAAAGGAGCAACAATAGGCTACTTCAGGATAGCCCTACGCATGAGACCTTGCCTTTATGCTGAGGTCAGCCTCTTGCAATCACAGGTAAGTGGGAAAATATATTGATACCAGTTGTCAAGCATTTGCTAACGCAGAACCTGTAATCTAACAGGCCTTACTTCTCATGGTCAGTATACGATGCCTACTACTTACATAGTATGAATCTCGGACACAAAGAACTAACGATGAGCAATAGACCTACTTCTCACATTCTGTTGGTGCCAGTTCAACATCTAGTTTGATGGCGGACGCTACTTCGTGCCTCCAAATCCTTCGTCTTCACAGCTCCAGTGCGATCAACAAGTTATCTAGCGACCGCTTAGAGCAAACTAATATTAAGAGAGCTTTCTGGGCTATTCACTGTATGGAAAAGCCCCACTCTCTACAAGAAGGCCTCTTTCCAGTAAGCATTGCGCTATATAACAAAATATTTATCGTTCTTGAGACAGATGACTCGCTAATGGTAACGAATGCTGATTCCATATCTCCTAGTTAATACACGGTGAATATGCGGACCATAATATTTCTTCTCTTCAAAGTTCGTCGGATAGAGGAACCGACTGGCTGAGTGTAAATGTTCGGTATGCAGAGGTCTGCTCGGATATTCTACGGCAACTCAACAGCCCACGACACAATAGCCGAGACTGCTTAATCTGCTGTGGAAGAAGTTACTGCGAAAAAAGCCCTGCCTTCATTCTATGCCGGCTTGAAGACAGTCTCATGATGTGGAAAACCGACTTTACACTCAATTTTAACGTCGATAACTTGTCGACACTCCCATATATTGAAAGGCACCACATGCTAGCCTATATTACTAGATTTCATTTTGCCACCATTGCGATATATTCACTTCCGGAGATAGAGGCGACAGACATTAGCAAAGAAAGACGTTGCGAGTCAGCACGCCAAATCCTCAAATTGAGCTCACACATTTCCTGGTCTGATTTGTGTGATAACTGGTTCGTACTTTTTTTTCTTCATGTCTGGTCTTTTTATGCATCGAAATCATTGACTAACATTTCTTGTTCCAGGGAACTTTGCTCGGCTATATCGTTGGCGACTTGCATAATCGCAACAGGAATCATCCAAAAAGCCTCGCTGGCAGAGGCAGAAAGAAGCATAGCAGTCACCAATAATGCCTCAACCTACATGTATTCTCACAAGACCAGTTGTGAAATAGACATATCGTATATCGGTATAGCAATCGGCTTCTTCAGCCGAATATCGCTAAGCACAACTCATGGTTTTGGGGACGCCGCCATGGAACTATGTAGCTTTGCTCTTAGCTTGGCAAAATGTTAGCTTGAACCTGCTGGAAGGGTTTACGTAGCTTTTGTCACCCCACTTGTACCACTAGACATGAAATAAGAAATTAAATATAAGACCACACATCCAAGTCACCAAGCCACTTCTTGGCTATAATATAAGCGTTCTTCCACGGACCCTGCTTTGAAATAGATCCATTCGGCGATTCTGTGAATGAAGCTTTTGCGGAGATAGACATTTACAATTATTACCTAGGGTTGCGTCATACTACTCGTCTTCTAGGTTCATGTGTATAGTACACATATCTGGGGTAAAAATGCATAACAACAGGATATCCACTAAATTACTCCGTATACAGTTGAAAGCATTTTGCTCCGATAACTCCTTTAATTACCGATTTTCAAAGCTATACTAATTAAATGACAGACTAATAGGGCTGTTATAGAAGAAGAGAGCACATCAGTGACCAAAGCAGTAGCAGTCCGAGCATACGCAGGGCTCGATGAAGACTTGAACTAGTAGCCCATCTAGGCCTAAATCAGGGGGGAATTAAAGTAGGCAAAGCAAGCATCAAGCTTCATGGCGGCAGTAAGCATCAGCGTTGTTAACTCACCGGGATGCCCCAGCCAGAGCAAGCCGGAGAAGGGTCTATCTTGGCATACCAAGACCTCACTACCTCCCGAGTTCAACAAGGACTCCCAAGAGGCCGATCCGGACGTATACCAGAAGGAGTCAAGTAGCCCGGAAGTCCCTCCACTAATACCCGGCCAAAAATTAGCCCGAGCTGCCACTTTTCACTAACGCGTCAACGTTGCGAGCGGAACGCCCGGAGCCGCAGAAAGCCCGGAGTCAGGAATCATCCCGCTGGAGTCCCGAAGTGCCCAGAGCATGTATACGCCTTGGGTTCGTAGGTATAGTGGTGACCAGGGAATATTATACTGGTTTAGTATCTGATCAAATATTTGATCAAAGTCTTTGATTGGGCGTACAAGTATTCATCGGTGCCGAAGTACTTTGGGGCATGTACTGATACTTATGCATGAGTCAGTGTACTCAGGGCAAAGGTAATGGTTGAGGAGCTACGGTAGAAAAATCGGTACCATTACTCGGTAAGTACCTTCTCTACATACCTTATTCGGGCTAGCGTTAAATGGACGCTCTGTTCTATGAACAGTCATCAGTACTGTCGTATAGCATTTTACCTCATATCCATAGAATGAGAATGGCTGGCTTTGGCGGACAATTGCTTGAGTGTACCAGAGGCTGTACCTCATAAGGAAATCACTACCCTTCCGTACAGCCGTTGGTTTGATAATCAAATAGTAGGGAGTTGCGCAATAACAGCTAAACATAACTAAGGCCTAAATCTTAAATGGATATATGTAATCCAAATACTTTAGGCATCTACGCTGCTCTTGAATATTAGATTCTATTATGTCTAAGAGCCTACTAGAGAATAATCTATTCCATTGTTATACTTCAGTAAGTCTCCAGAGTCTTAGAATACACTGGCGGTTTTCCTGGTCATCCACAGCACATGTTTCAATTATTCGCCACGCATGCACTCCCTAGTTAACCTCCTTGCAAGATGTATAGTAGAATTCGGCCTTTATTCTGAATTGCTGCAGCATTTGAATGTTTAGGCGAAGACTAATCACCGCAAGTTGGTCTAAGCACTTGTGGTGACGAAACTGGTCGTGTGTCGCCTTGTGCCGTGCCGTCCCGTTTGGACCTTCTGTCATCGATTAAAACTGTATCACAGAGTATCTGTTGGCTTGAATATTTAGTAATAAATAAAATAGCATTAAAAGCAAATCTTGACTTGAAGAACTTGACTAAAATGCACGCTATTCGTAGGTATGTTGTTCCAACGTGGCAATGCGTTGCGCATGGTCAACAACTAAATTTTCGCAAACTGGGGTGACTACAAGGTGTTTGTTTCGTTACCAAGTCGCTTCGCTCTTCTCCAAGTCATAAAAGGTAATGATTCATGATAAAGGTATAATAGAATGTCTCAAGCCCAACTCAGTTAAATCTGATTAGCTGCGGCAGATGATTAAACTTTAGAGATCAGGTTGCATAACAAACTATATCCACCAAACCGTTCCTTACCTAAGTACATCGTCATACCAACCAGCCGTCATATGCTAAAAAGTGAAGCCAAGACTTGTTATGTTTTAGGACACACAAGGCTGAATGCTTGTATAATGTCACAGGCTCGAATACAAATACGACTACTTCGACCGCCTGTCTTCTGATTCATCCCTCATTCTCATGCCTCCCACATTACATCTCCTCTCGTTCTAAAACCATTCAAAGCCCGTTGTTTCTAGTTTCTCTCTACAGAATCATACAGAACGATGGAGTGCGCTCACATCATCGTAACGGCGCTTGCTGCCTTTGCATCTGCGCGCTCGGTCAAGCGGGTCAAATGGGCTACCATATGTCCACCCGAAACGTTTTGCCTTATTAAAACAGTCCGCTTCACGCTTGTTTTCTGCTCTCCTACTTACTTCATACTCTCTGCATTGCACATGTAAGCTGACATAGTCATAGGTACCAACGAGCATGTCTGTAAGTAAAATACTCAGTATAGGGGAAATGCATACGAAGTTGAGACGAAAACTCTACGAAGGGAGTAGCAGAATGCATACACAAAAGAGGGAGGGTACCGATACAGACCAAGGCCTTCAAATCAGCTAACCTCTACACAGGAGGGCTACACAACGTGCTGTGGTAAACAATGTGCTGCCACGATACATCATGATATGGCTTTAGCGACACTTATCCTATCGGTGCAAATGTTTGCGCGCATTCCCGGGCGGAATGAGCGCCAAGGACACCTATAAGAGCCGGCTTAGGTCGAGGACAAGAAACTAAAGCTAGGTCATGGATCATAAGAGCAACTTAGGTTATTCATGGCTGAGCAACAAGCGGAACACTTTGAAGACGATAAGGAGATGTGGCTAGAGAGTTTTGAATTACATGAATAGTGGAAATTTGAATAAAGTTCAAATCAACCAATGCACAATTCTCATGCGAACGTATCACGTTAGGTTCGACTGTTCGAATTAGGACTACGAGTCTCTTTTCCGGTCATGCTGCGGCATCCCCTAGTACTTTGATTTCCTTGTTATTTATAGGTATTTGTTTTAGCAAAATGACTTCAAAATTTTCCACTGAAAGGCACTAATAAGATACCAAGTTCTACCTTGGCGAATGGTTGACCAATGCAACTTCTTGGTCTATGTAAAAATGCCATCTTGGCGAAGTTGTTTCGGTGGCAGGTCCTCTTGGCTGTTTCATTTTGTAGCCCGTCACTCGGAGAGACTTTGGAAGAAGCGATAGGGGTATACATAGTGCCAGTTCCTGCTTCTTACCTTTCTTGAGATACCCAATGACCAGGACTGAACATGTGGGCATCCGAGCCCAAGAGAGTACTGCTGCAGTTATGCCGTGAAGGTCCAGGAAACGACAGCCACAGTGAGTATATTCTTGTTATGAGGAACAAAATCAGCTTTCGATACATGATTCTTCTCGGGCAACTTTGCCTTTCGAATCATCCGTTGGCACGACGAACGAACGAGTTGTATCGCGAGGTTTACTTGGCTGTTTCTCTACTTCCGCAGAGACTGGCAGGCACTATGTCACAGCCCACGACTTTGTACTGTCAGTACAATCAAACCCCTGTTTTCCTCACTAGGCTCATGGTATGCGGTCCATTAACATCGACATAGTAGTAGGTTGCTGTTTGTAATAATGTGCGAGTCAGAACACGCAACCCTCAAGAAGGATATAGAAGTATATTTTCAATAAGAAGTTGTTAGAATGATCTAACTACATAGGTATGTAATACATAGTGGCCGGATGCTTAACCGGGATACCGTCACATGTCCGAACAACGGAAAACTCTCACACCAACATACATCAACTTTCCTTAAGCTATGCACCCGATCAGCGCTACTCCGATTGCAACAGCCAAGTTTCATATCCAAGTGCAAAGCAAGACAACGGCGTGAAGCAACAAGGAGGGGACAGATGAAGTCGCACAGTGAGCATCGTTTAGCGCATGACCAGCCAGTATCATTCCATCACGAGTATCTTACCACATTTACTATACAAGGGTATTGTTAGTAGTACAAATTGATCATCAGCCCGCCCAAGGCGTTAGCAGTTATCATTATAATAGGAGATAGCTATTCCTTCATGTCCTGTTCAGCATAGCCATACTATTTCCTTACAAGGTAACTAGTAGACGTGAAATCTGCCGCCATACTACACGCATGAATCCACATAAGCTCACAGTCTATCCCCTGCTTCCACCTAGTCTATCATTCCAGATCTATTCGTCATAAGCCTACCGGGGACCTGGTCGCTTTCCACCACATGTTAGCCCTCCCTGGGAGTTGTGGGCATAGTGCATTTTGACCAAGCTCCAGGAGAAGACAACTGTGGAAGTAAAGCAATCATACATCCCGTCATTCTAAATCTATGAACTTAAAACGCTGAGCATTTCCTCTACACTCTGAAACTTTTCTCTTCGCTTCCCCTTTGCCTTGCCATTCTCTCGCTCAGCCTCATCAATCTTTTTCCAGTCCGTCCAACTGAGCGGTCTGACGCCTTTGCTTTCCACCGCTGCCCTCAGAGCCTCCCATCCCGATTTGGTGCCTTTGTTTTCACCGTTGGTATCGTTCAAAAAGAGCACACCAGCCTCCCAGTCTTGAGCAATGATGTCTGCAGAGGAGAAAGCATCTTGCATAGTGCTTGCAATCACACCAGTTGGTCCACGTTTAACCCACCCTGCGCAGTACATGCCAGAAACGTGGCCTGCTGTCAAGTTTCCAGGACCAGCTGAAGGGGTAATGACACGCCCGTGCATGTCGTTCGGGATGATGCCCAGCTTCTCATCAAAGGGCACACCAATGTCTGAGAGTCCAGGAAGAGCAGCCGACTTGTAGCCTACAGATCTGAAAGCCAAAGATGCTTCAATTGTCGTCTCATCCTTTGTAGACACAACACGGGTCCTCTGATCGAAGGGATCGCCATCAGGTACAAATTGTTGCTTTGTGAATGCTATTGAGGTGAGATGACCGTCAACTTCATGCATGGCTTTGGGAGCCTGCATAAAGTCGAGCGCCCATGACCGTGTAGCCTGCTGTGCAGGAGTGACCGAGCCCTTGAGAAGTACTTCCGCAATGCGTCTCTGGACGCGTGGGAGCTTTTTAATATCGGCGGGATACAGGGAGCGATCGATGGGTTCAAAGGCAACGGATGGTATTTGCATAAGCTCACGGGCTTCTTTGACGGTGAAGGCAGCCTTGATTAAGTGTCAGATATGTATTGCCAACACCGCAGCCACAACGTACCTGTATGGGACCACGTCTACCAACGACGCGCACAGACCGGATCTTACTCTCGGACAACGCCTGTATGGCCTGATCGGCAATGTCTGTACTGCGTAGCGCGTCTACGGGACTCAACAAAATGCGCGCGACATCTAGTGCAACATTTCCTTGGCCGATGACGACAGCCTGCTCACCAGCATGAAGGATTGGCTCCAGGTGTTGGAACTGCGGTAGACCATTGTACCAGCCAACGAAAGATCTAGCAGAATAGACGCCTGGCAGATGCTCTCCGGGGATGTCCAGCTGTCTATCCTCGGTTGCGCCATACGAGAATAGAATAGCATCGTAATGGGGTTTCATGTCTGCTAGCTGCACATCATAGCCGACCTTGACATTGCCAATGTAGTTGAATCGCGGTGAGCGGGCAATGTCTTCAAAGGTGTCTTGACAGTTCTTGACCTCTGGGTGATCGGGCGCAACACCATATCGGACGAGTCCATAGGGTACAGGGAGCTGCTCGTACATGTCGATGACGGCATCTTGGTTCTTGTTCATGAGACGATAGGCGGTATAGAAGCCTGCGGGACCCGAGCCGACAATGGCAAGGTGGAGGCGACCTCGCGTGCTTGATACGGTGCTGTACTCATGGCGGAGAGAAAAGCGTAGGGCATGGGCAAAAGAAGGCTGATGCGCTACCGACAGCTGTAACGGAGCAGCACTACTGCGGGTGACATGTGGGCGTGTGGCAGCGAGGTGGGTCAATTGCGGCGGTGTATTTGTTATTCGTCGTGTAGAGCTAGCGCAGACACGAGGCGTTCCCAAGTGTCGTGAAAGGAACATGGTGTGAAGGTCCTTGCGGTGGGTAGCGTCAATCAATGCCTGTCCCAAGACATGCGCGGATGACTAAGCCTGCGAATCACATGCGTGCAATCATATGCATCCTATTGTAGCCTCATCCAAAAGAACATCAGATGAGAACCATGCACACCCATCCAAACATGCGCAACAACGTACCGCCACATACGCCCACCAATCCGGCTATCCGCACGCACACCCCACACGTTCCCGGCTGAAGATCCAGGTTACAGCTTCTTGCCGCCGTCCCTAGTCAATGCATGAGCCGTCCCAACCGTGCTTCTTCACGTCATGCCGACTTTTGATTGTTGCCATGGCAACGCCCGTATTTACACATGTACTTACTTAGGTACATATGCCACGTACATGGCCATCCTCACGCGGGCCCTTGTCTCTCAGCCGTCATCCGCATTTCTGTTCAATTGGTGAGAGGCCACTTCGCACCCTCTGCTCTGACGGTCGTGTGCTGAAGTCCCGTCTCCGCTCTCTCTCCCAACAATGGCGGGCCGCTGGCAGCCCTACGCATACGGCTATGGATATGCAAACCAACCGCAATCCATGGCCGACATAGATCCCTCCCAGCCCATCTTTGACCCAAAGGCCATCACCAGGGCTAGCCGCATGCCGCCTTCGCCTCCCAAGAAGAAGCCAACAGGGCCCTTGATTGATTTCAACAAGCACCCCGACAGCTTTCTTGTTCTTCCCTATGGAAATACGAAGGCGAAACCCATGACTGCCAAGACGAAGGTCTTCATCGACATTGCCCGATGGACCCAGGTCGGCTTGAGGATCATCACGCTCTTGGGCGCAGTCGGTGTGTTGTTGTGCGGCATCTTCATCCGCGGTGTACAGGATACCGAAGGGTATATTATGAGAATACCAGTAAGTGTTTGGTCATACTTCACAGATGTTTCACTAACAGGTGCAGCCCGGTGTGGATCTTGTCATCTCATTGTATGCTGTATACCACTTGATCCGTAATCCCAAGAACAGACCAGCAGGAAGCTCTGCTGGCTACCACTTTTTTGCGCTTGTTACGGATGCTGGCTTCGTTCCCTCCTATGTCTTCACAGTCCTGATGGCTCGACGGAACTACGACATGAAGGTTGGAGAGAAGGGTCGCTGGGTCACAATGTTCCCTACCAACGAGGAGACGGAAAAAGTACTTTTTACGACATGGGTCACCGCCATTGCGGTCAGTGCTTTACATCTGATTTCCACCTTCTTGGACATGTACATGGCTCTTGTATTCCGCAAGATTTCCAAACTGCCACCGGACATGAACCCGCTCGAGGACAATCTCACATCACGCAGAAAGACCAAGCACAAGCATAAGAATTCGTCCATTTCGGCTATGGAGCCTCTTACAGCAAAGCAAGAGAAGCATCTCAGCGACCAGACCACACTGTATAGTGGCCGAACCTCGAAAGCCGAGTCATACATCTATTCAGACATTCCCAGTCCTACCAAGAACCAGGTTGCCTTTATGCACACTCGCGCAAAGTCAGAGACAGTCTACTCGCCGCATACGCCTGCGTCAGCTCGTCAGTCTAGAGAACGCTTCTCCATGTACTCACAGCCGCCTTCTGCATATCAATCCCGGAAGAATCTTAACCATCGTGATGACCTTCTTAACGACGAGGACGACAATCAGACTCTAGCGCAACGCAAGTCGATGCTCTCTGGCCAAGGCAATATCAAACGTCACTCGCGTCCTGCCTCTAATGTTACCAGCTCAAGCAAAAACGAGTTTCACACGCCTCGTTCAAGTGGAAACAATGAACAGCAAGAAGCAACTGGCGACCTATCTCTGCAACGGAACTCACAGCAAAGCCTCAAGGCAGATAACTGGTTCGTCTCGGCTGAAGAAGATGATGATAACGACCACGACGACCACGCACCCCAAGCACCCAAGCAATCCATTTTCGCATCCGCAAACGCCAACAAAGGCTACAGCACTGTTACTGCATACGAAGTACTTTCTGACCACGAAGACGACGCCGACGCCGATGCCCGAGAACCAATGATGCCGCAGCCTCTCCGCATGAACCCACCTTCTCCTCCTCCAGCCGACCTGTCCGACGAACAGCAAGGAAGCACGCCTCCCCCAGCATACCCCCAATCCCACGACAACACCCGCCACAGCCTACGCACTGAAGAGCACCTCGACCGCCCCCAGTCGCGCGCCACAACACCCAAAACGCGCCGGTACGGCAACCTGCAAGACGCCACTGCCGGCGTCCGTAGCGCCAACTCGCCTCATTCCACTTCCTCATGGCCAACCAAAGACTCGTCGTTCCGTCGTCAAGCCAACCACTTGCCCAGCGCCACCAAGCAGTACGCAGTCAACGCAGCTGGGCCCCAGAAGGGCCAAGGTAAAGGCAACGGACTCGCGCCCAATGCACCGTTTTCGCTGCACAAGAAGAGCTACACTTCTATCAAGCGCACGGGCGAGGCGAACTCGACACCGGTTAAGCGCCAGTCGCCTCGTGTGATTAGCAGGAGTGGAGTCGATTACACGGGTGCTTTCGCTTTTGATGACGCCGATCTGGGTGTGCCTGGGCGCAGGCGCGATGTTAGTGGCAAGATTGCAGAGGAAGGCCGTGGTGGGCATTGGGGTGCGAGTGGAATCGTGCAGCGCAAGGTCAGTGGTGTTGCTCAGGCCTATTAGAAAGAGCGCCTGGGGGTGTATGAGGCGGCGAGGGGGCGTTTCTGGGAGTTTTGTGCGTTTTGATGGGGGGGTTTTTTTTTACTTTACCCGAACGAAAAGATGAAGTTTTTTTTCTTCTTCTTTCAATCTATGGTTTGTATGAATAACACTGATGCTGGGATGAATATCATGTAGGTATATATGGATGATTGATGGGGAGAGTTTGCTTTGCGAAGCCCTACTAGTTTTCGGGTTTTTTCCATATCCGACTTTTGGGGCATGTGGGAATACATCAGGTACGTGATGCGTTGTATTTTTTTTTTGGATGCAGTAGTAAACGCTCTCGAGTACGAGCAGCGAATAATGACATTTGCGAATTATATTGCCTCTACTACATCATCATCATCATCATCTTGTTCCCCCTCTTCATCATGATCATGACAAAAAGTCCTTGTGTTGCTTAATTGCCTATATTCATACAATCGTTACATTGTCATAATGCTCAAAATAAGACTTTTTTGTATGCACCAAAAAGGCCCAGGCCGCAAGTCCTGCATGAACAATGATAAAAGCAAAAGCCGCCATGACAGAAAAGTAAAAATGCACAAGCGAACATGGAAAGAAGCAAATCAATACACTTCTCCGCCAAGCCGTCCAGAGATTTTGATGACAGGCAAAAGATGCACGCTCCCATATGTATGTTATGCATAGACAGTCAAGTGATGTACATCAATCAGTTCAGAACAAAGACAGCATGCGCAACAACAGCAATCGCGACGCCATTTTCCATGCAATGCAATGCCATCATGATTGGGAACAAAAGTGTTGGAAAAAAAATTAAAGAAAAAAAAGGGAACCGCTGCATGGCGCAGACATGATTGCCAGCTCTATCTAGCTGGATGGGCTGGGTAGGGTCCGTGCTGATGGTGGTGTGGAGGTGCGGGCATAGAAGAATGATGATACACGACGTGTTTATCCTGTGGAGGATAGGCTTCGAACATGACTCGTCGTTGAGGAGCTTCAGTCCTGAGCGGACTTGGCTCTAGAGTGCCCACGGGAAAGCGCTGCGAATTGTTTGGACTGCTCATGAAGAGCAACGTATCGACCGCGTCCTTTTCTGCCTGTTGACTAGGCATACGAAGGATTCCTGCTCTGGGTGTTGCTGGCGATCGCATGTCCCCACTCAAGTCACTGTAGTGTTTTCTTTGGCCGGTTGCTAGAAGAGGAGGGGGAATATGTGAGACTGTAGAGCGGCGTCTTCGTGAGCTCTGGAATGTGGGGGCTGGAGCAAGGCTATGGCCATGGCTAGGCCCGTGACCGTGGTGGGCACCAGTAATGGAGATGAGGTTTGCGGCAGCATGCATTGCAGGACGGGTAGCCGGTGTCCAGTACGCTATAGAGTGTTAGGGAATGCTTTGGACAAAGGGCAAGGAGACTGACGGCCTGGTGTTCCCACATGTGATCGTGTGGGATCAGAGACCGGTGACATGATCATCTGATCGGAGATATCCGAGACGCCACTCGGTCTCCGTCGTCGTTCGCTATCGGCAGGCGAGTCGAATGCTAAGAAATCGCTTCTGCCAGGAGCAGAGTTGGGCGATCCGCGCTGCGATTGACTTTCTTCCAACTCTTCGAGCGACTGTTTCTCCCAGCCGTTTTGGACCTTGACCATGGCGTACGAAAGACGCGTCTTAAGCTGGGCAGATAGCTGCATTCGCGTCAGCATTCAGTAACACGAGCTTGATGCGAGAGGGCGCACCTCTCCAATGCGAGTGCCCGAGTGTGTATCCATGCTCTTGTTTCTCTTGTGGGCGGTCATGGGTCTGGAGGTAGAGGGTGTCGCGAGGGCCACACCGGCGGCCTTGACAGAGCCGTCTGCGCTTCTCTTGGAGCCCTGGGTGGCTGGAGAGCCCAGTGGTTTCGGACTGGGTGCCTTGTCACCAGCGCGCGACTCTTTGGCAGCAGCCGTGTCGACGCGCGGTGCGGGCCACGCGTCGCCACGAGGAGATTGGGGCGGGTGTTTAAGCATTGGGGCGGGTGTGTCGGTAGGTTTGGTGTGGCTCTCAGCATTGGCCGACGAAGGGGCGGTACTCTCGGCCTCTGTAGTCGTGGAAGTTGAGAGAGTGCTGGACGAGGAAGCCAGAGCGGGAGCGGAAAAGGTGCTGGACTGGGCCGAGTGGAGTGTTTCTTGCGAAGCCGGCATGTCTGACTGGTGCGGACTAGCAATAGATGGTGTAGGGGCAGAATCGGGGGCCTCTAGTGGCGCAATGGACATGTGAGAAGCACGGTAAGGGGCAGGTGGGCTTGGGGGATGTCAAGACTTACGATGAGGCATCATGGGCGGACGGCGGGGTAGGAGAAACAGTAGGAGCAGGAATAAACAGTACGGGTGGCAGCTAGCAATTGGAAACAAGCGATGGGAAGGGCGTCAGGAATGCAATGGCTGGACAAGACGGGCGATGCGGTGCAAAGGCGAGGCGAGGACAGGGCGGCAGTGCGAGTGGGTGGTGGAGCGGGAGTCGTGGTGGTGGGAGACGTGAGTGTGCTTTACGCGGTAGAACGCGATGGCCCGCCAGATGCTTAGTCGGCTCGCAGCCCGTGGGGAAGCCGCAGCGAGGATGGTGGCCGACACAGAATCCGTCGAGAAACAAGGCCGGGGGATGTGCGAGGCTTCAGGGCGCGTTCGGTGCAGACCGTCGGCGCAAAACGGGCGGCTCTGTCGTGGGCTGTCGACTGGGTGAAGCCGCGCGAGAGGCTTTCGAACGCACGCGTGGGACGCATTTTGGGAATAGCGCATTGCCACACGCTGCACTAATGGGCAAAGCACGTATTAATAGGCGGTAAAAGCGCATGCGCCCGACGCTGCCGAACGGCTGGTCTTAGCAGAGTTTTCGGGGTAGGCCTGCCATGCATGTGTGCAGACGGATCCTGTCGTGTTTGGTGGCTGCGTGTTTGCTTTTCCGTCGTTGCGACATGTATCCATCCACACCAGATGCCCAGGCTGCAAGTCACCTGCCACTGCTCCCATAACGTAAGCTTTCGATGGCGCGTGTTGGCACCGTCATCGCACTGCAAAAGCGCGGTATCAACTGCTCCGCTTGCTCGGTACCCGTCCACTTCCCAAGGCTGGACTGCAGGCCGGACACGCCCATAGGACAGAAAAATACACACCACCTGACATCCTCGGTCACAACAAAACAGCGGGTTGCAGTCAACAAGAAGAATTATGCAGGTTAAATGACACGCCGTGGTGAATTCAACAAAAGAACAAGCGTGCAGAGAAAAGGTGTGCGTATCATCATTCCGGTCGTAACACCAGCAAACATTGCCTACTCGACTCCATATCTACATCCAAACTCCTACTACGAGCTGCGGTTGTAGTAGTCCCATTTGGGCAGCTTCATCGTGCCATGCTCGTCCAGATGCCTGTGCATATCGAAGCTGTTCCACAGCAGGTGAGGCTCATGGCCCCATCCTTTCCTCAGACACTCAAACTCCGCCTTGTTGAAGTAGTCCTCCAAAATAGGAACGTAGTCCGGGTGCGCGCACTTCTTAATGATAACCCGGGCACGCTCCCTGGGCGACAGTCCGCGCACATCAGCTAGCCCTTGCTCCGTCACAACAACGTCGAGGTCATGCTCCGTCTGGTCAATGTGAGTGCACATGGGCACGATGCAAGACACGCCCGTAGGGTCCGTCTTCGAAGGGCGTGTCGAAGGTGTATGCATAATCGAATACTTGGCAGAACGCAGGAAATCGGCAGAGCCTCCAAGACCGTTGAGCATCCGGCTACCCATGACGCACGTAGAGTTGGCGTGTGCGTAAATATCCACCTCTACAGGCGTGTTCATGCCAATGACACCGAGACGTCGGATAATCTCGGGGCTGTTGGATACTTGCTGTGAGCGCAGCAAAAGCTTGGGCGCATACTGCTCCCAGCCCTTGTAGAAGCGGTCGAAGCCGTCGGGCGAGAAACGGATTGATGTGGCCGTTGCAAAGTCGAGGTTTCCAGAATCAAAGAGGTCCAGGAAAGAGTCTTGGAGAACCTCCGTCCATACCTTGAGGTTCTTGAAGTTTGCACCGCCAGACTACACATGTTAGCCCACCAAATACCAAGCAAGCTATGTGAGAAGAAGAAGAAGAAGAAGAAGAAGAAAAACCTACAGCAAGACCACCCACGACGGCGTTGGCAATGTTTCCAATGCCCGACTGCAGAGGCAATAGGTTCTCCGGTAGGCGGCCATGGCTGACCTCATGCTTCAAAAACTCAATCAGGTTCGCGGCAATGGCCCTTGAGGTTTCATCCTCGGCAGCATTGGGCTGTGTCTGATCTGGGTAGTCGCTCTCCACAATCGCAACCACCTTTTCGGGGTCAACAGGGATGTGCGGTGTGCCAATGCGGTCCTCAGGAGACATGATCAAGTAAGGCTTGCGACGTGGTGGGAGGTCAGTCATAGTAATGTCATGTAGACCCTCAAACGAAGGGGCGGCAGTGTTGACTTCAATGATAATCTTGTCGGCCATCTGGACAAGCTCGGGCGATGCGCCTACACTGGCGCCAGGAATAATGCCACCATCCTCAGTAATTGCAGACGCTTCAACAATAGTTACGTCCAGCTTATTTTGAGGTTTGTTCAGTGTGTAAAAGCTTGTCCAGTTAATAATGTCCATTCTTCAGCTGGTCTTGCATTCATCTACTTACCCGTACATCAGATCGACAGGAAACATACTCAAATGTTTGTCGAAGAACTTGATGTTACCATTGTTGATTCCTTTGGCGATTTCCTTGCCTACTTGATGCGGAGACCGGCGCTCAATCATGTTGAGTCGCGCCCATCGATTCTCTGTTTCGGCGCCTGACGAAGCGCCGACGAAGAGGTTGTACTTCATCTGGCCCTGAAGATTGTTCTTCTCAACATGGTCTGCCAGCGCCGTGGGGATTTTCCTGCAATCATGTTAATCGGCGGAACGAGTAGTACCAAAATCGAAGCATGCATCCACGATAACACGTATTCAAAAGCAATCATAGCCAGGACCAGTCTCATGAGCCCTCCTGACTAGCCACCATGACATGACCCCATGCACAGGTGGAATTGTGGGGTCGGAGTTAGCTCGGCTTTCGTCACTTGCCAAACTTCCGTTCCCCCTCGGAACTACGGGTATGTGTTTATGGACTCCCAACACGATACCCAAGTTTCTGATGTTTCTCAAGGGATTGAGACCATTCGCCATATGACCGCTCGTGTAACTGGGCAAAAGGATAAACACACTTACTTTGGGTATCCCACGCCTGTGAAGCCACTCCAACCAATGTATGCTCCATTGGGAAAGTGGTGTAGTAAATCCTCTGCTTTGGCAAGCTTCTTGAGATAACTCGGTCTCCGAACTCGACTCTTCAATGCTGCTGAGACGGACATATTGGACCTTGTGCTTTGAGTTCAGGTGTGGTGACGATCCTAGGATTACGTAGTAGTAGAGCTTATCGATAAAGCCTTTGAAGTAGTCTGAAAAGCAAACAGCTCAGCGTGAGCAACAAGATAAAAGATGAGAGAGAGTGGAGAGTGGAGAGGAGCCGCGACGGGCGAAACTTGAATCAAAAGCTCTGGGGGAGTCTGAGAATTTAAACTATGCAAAGGCCAAGACTAAACTCCTTTTGAGCAGCACTGGCGTAGAGGGTTGCTGTGGGCTGATGCTCATCGACCCACTCAAGCATGACGTCTGCCGTAAGCCCCCGGTCCAGGGAGAGGGGCGCATGCAAAGATTCCAAACGATTGGAGGAGAGGCTGCATATTATGCATGATGTGCAGCTTCGCAGGACCAGATAAGTACAGCAAGTGGTGAGTACCCTTCGGGCTTAGAGTACGTTGACTGGTAAAAGTACGGCGAGGTTGTGGTCTTAGTAGCGTTCATGCTTACTATGAGCCAGTCGGAGGTACAATACGTGACACAGGAGACCACTGGCTCCAATCCTTTAATCATATTTAAAAACCAACCCAGCGATCCTGCGCTTCATAGGCTAATCAGGTCCGACCGAAATGCTCAGTCACCTTTATTCAGACAAACTAATTATTGGTACCTCACCTGAACAGATTTCCATACTAAAGCTCCATAACATCTTGCACATCTCCAGTCAAACCAACCTGCTTCGTGCCTCGAGGAGAGAAGTAAGTCTTAAAGACGTCCTTCAAAACCTTGTCGCTCAGCTTCATATGTCCGCCTTTGGTGGTCTTGAAGTGCAGACCACCCTTTTGATCCAGCTTCTTCAATCCAATCCAGTCCTCTTTGTAAATGTCACGATCCCTCAGCTCTGTTACCTCGTTGTTGGTAAGGTTTGTGTATGCAAACCAGCCGCTCTCCTTGGGTATGACTGTCGTGTCGTCCTCGAACACGTACATGACGAAGTTGTCCAGTGCTGCAAGATTTTCTGCATACGTCGGGTTTTTCAGCGGTCTCTCGTTGTTGATGTCTGCAAGGAAATTCGACGCCTCGAGGTATTCGTCGGTCGGCTCGCCGGTGGTTTCGTTTGTGGCTTTGAAGTACTGCGCTGGAACAAGATGTCCCTGAACCCAGGAGCCCCACGTGTTTGCCTTCAGTAATCCAATATATCCTTTGCATAACCAATCACCGTCTTTGCAGATTTGGTACTTTGCAATACCATTATGTTGGCTTCCAAATGTCACCAGATTCTTGATGTTGATGCGATCTCCGCATCTTTCTACCAAGCCTCGAAGAAACTGTCCACCTTGTGAGAAGCCCATCGCGTTGAGGCCTGGCGCTTGCGATAAGACCTCATGTTCCAAGATGTCGTCGCAAACTTGAGCAATCTGCTCAGTCACATTGCCCAAAAACGTCGCAGTCCGGTCGCTTCCAGGATCTTCGTCGAGTCGGATGTAATAGACATAAGTGCCCGGAACTGTCTCGTTTGCGAGTTCGCCGACGCTTTGCAGACCATCTGCAGCATAGTTGTCGCCCAGGCCGTGCCAGATAAGCAATGGCAAGGGCTTAGATTCGCTATTCACAGAAGATAGCGCTAAGGCTCGCGCCACTAGAAGTAAGGTGGAGATAGGGAGTAAGTGCAGCATTGCGAAATGTGTGAGAGGAGAAGTATCGTGGCTCCGTGGTTGCGAGGTGTGCGACACCTGAGACGCGTCGGATGACGTCTGCATCCAGCCGAGGCCGCTTCAGCCGGAAAGGGTCAAAGCGTATACTACCACAGCTCATCATGCAGTCACTCTATACGCTTTCCAAGCGACTGACTCTGAACGGATTTTTAACGCGTCCCAGTGCAAACGAGAATCAGTGACATAGTATATTCTTGAAATATCACAGTTATGTCTACAAAGTACTAAAGAAATGTACATGATATTTGTTGCTACTTTGATCAACACAACCTTGTTCCATGTGACACAAAAATAATTAATTGTCTTCAGCTTTGACAAAAGGGAATTCTTGAGCTACGCATTCCTGAAATAGGATATCAAAAAGAAGATTAATGGAGTAACTCGACTGTCTTATTGCTTTGCCAACTATTGAGAGTTGAAATTCTTAAGTAGGATGCTCTGCTTGAGGAACTTATCATGTATTGATAGTTGTATTCTATTGAATGACCTAAGAACACCGAGCTTGATTGGTTCCAGCAATAGGAGAGCAGCCATTCCTGTTCTTGCTACATACGGTAGTCTAACTTATTAAGTTCGTCATCAAACTGCAGGTATAAATAATTCACTTACAGAAAGGCAATACAAGTCTGTTGATGAGTCCTGGTCACTGTATCGACATAGCCCATACAGCGTGAACATCCCTGAAGGACTAGGACAAAACTGTTATAAGATTAATTGGATACAACACACTATGTAAGATAGAATAACGTACCCAGGTAGTCACAGAAGTACAAAAAGAGGTGTCAACGCAAGGGTAATATGAAGCTTCATTTTTGTTATCTGGATATCCTCTGGTTATATCTCCGGAATTGTATGCTGAGAAAATAATAGAAGAGGTGGCTAGAAACGTACTCTAGTGCGTGCTCTTGCACACTAATATATCTTGCAAGAACATAAACTTGACTAAGACAAAGTTGCAACCGCGATATTTGCCGACAGGTGGAGATATACTGCGGTCTGACACATCAAGCCGAACATGCAGGGGTCTCTACCAGGTGTATTGGGACTATTTTGCTGCCAGCTCACAATACACTAGTCTTAATTTGTTATTATTTCACTGCGTGATAGCTATTCAATGATATAATGATAGAGAGGCGCTTGCGGTTAAGATAACAGACAAACCTAGCATTCATTACTTTGATAAAGACACCCCATGTTCCGCCATATGTGGCAGACCGCCGTATGCACATAATATAAAGAATGTAATCTCGAGGTCGTGATGTAGCGCTGGTCATGTGTCGAAGTGGAGCTGAGGTTGAATTGATCCTTGTAACCTGACATGAAATTTTGAAACTTACCTGGTCAATGTGCTCCTAACTTCATATACACGGAAGTGAGCTTACATGTGACACCAGCCCTAGCTAACAGGCTCCAGGCAATCTGTTGAGATTAGGAGAAGACTAAGTCACAAACCATGGGGCTGGGAAATGTGATATCTTTCAAAATGCGTCATCTCTGTAATCGTATATTTGATCGTTGCCACACATACCAACGTCCATCTAACCGGATCTGCGGCCAGAAATCTTAGTACAACCGATAATACCACCGAGGACTGGTCCCAGAATCAGCCCCACTGAGCATAACCCTGTAACAGACTGAACTGTCACGATACTCTGAACTGAGATCCATGAAGGCCAACCTTCGAGCCAGAGAAGACACGGTCACGTGCACAGAGTATATAGTTCGTACCTTGGATATTTCATTAAGGATTCGTGTCAATTTACCTTGGCCGATATACTTTATGCCTATCTGAGGAGAATTTCACAGGAATACTCCTTGGTGGAGCTTCTCTATATAATCTGCTTTGCGCACCCCACGGTTCTCCAAAAAAGGAAATCCGCAACGTAGATAGAGTGATGGCGCTTTACTGAATACGTATAATCTCGTTGCACCCAACATTGATTTTGCGACAACGTTCCTTGAACGTGATCCATGGCTGCGATACTGTAACTTAAACAAATGAGTTAGCAGCCATATAGAAAGTGCTTGAGTGAGCTACCTTACTCAAGTACGCCAGCGCATGTCACGTGACTAGATCTTTGCAATAAGAAAATAAGGCCAACGCCGGAAGTATATTCCTTCGGACGCTGTCCAGTACTTTGCATGCAGCGTCGCATGAATATATGCATATACAAAAAACCAAGACAAATACTAACAGTGCACAGAAGGAAAAGCATGGATCGACTGTCCCTGTATTTGCCCCGCTGCGACGACCCTTGGCAAAATGTAGGGTCAACCCTGTCGTGTTTTTTTCGGGTTGGGGCGTGCAGAAAGTTGCTGGTTCATGGTCTGTGCACAACATCCGCCAAGCCTTCTCGCAAAAAGTTCAGCCAAATTTCCAGCACAATTCCTAGCACAACCATACAGCATCACAATGGCGAAATCAACAGCTGTGACTAAGAAGATCGAGAAGGCGACCGAGGCGCCCCTCACTACAAAACCCGCGAATGGCACACCCTACCAGCTGGACCCGGCGCAAGTCGAGCGCGCGGCGAAAGCGCTCGTTGCGCACATGAAGAAGCATGTGGAAGAGAAGCAGGAGAAAGCACCAACAAAGAGCTTGGCTGCTGATGAGGATGATGCTGAGGAGGTTGATGAGCCCATCTTTCTCAGTCTTTCGACAAAAAAGCAGATTGCCAATACGAAGAGCATGAAGCCTGTCGCCATGTAGGGTCGCACATCTTGTACAGCATAGAGCACAACTGATAGTACCCACAGCAAGCTCCCTCACCCTATCATTGCCAGCGACGTTCGGGTGTGCATTTTCACCAAAGACCCGCAAAGAGCATACAAGGATCTCGTAGCATCCGATGCCTTCCCTGCCGCACTCCGCGCAAAGGTACAGCGCGTCCTCGGCGTAGAAAAGCTCAAGAAGCGATACAAGGCATTTGAACAGAAGCGTGCACTGCTTGCAGAGTATGATGTCTTCTTGGTCGACGATCGTGTTATCAAGATTGTGGCAGAGTTTTTGGGCAAGGTTTTCTACAAAAGCAAGTCGAAGCGGCCAATTCCTATCCGCCTCACCGCTGGCGCACACATCGACAAGAGCGCAAAGAAGGATTCCAAGGAATCAAAGGATGTGGTAGGAACACCTCAGGGTGTAGCAAAAGAAATCGAATTCGCTCTGAACTCGACTTACCTGAGCATGAGCCCATCGGCGAACACCTCGATCAAGGTCGCCAACCTCTCCATGACGCCACAACAAATTGCCGAGAACACCGCCGCGGTGGTATCTGAGGTTGTGAGCAAGCACGTCGGTCAGGGTTGGCGCAACATCCGTGGTCTCCATGTCAAGGGCCCAGCGACAAAAGCACTGCCCATCTGGCTTGCCGAAGAGCTGTGGGTGGAGGACAGCCAGGTTCGGGACGGACCATACCAAGGCACAATCACAGAGGGCACTGCCAAAGGAAAGTCGGCAGAACGCAAGCGAAAGTGGGACGAGTGGGAAGAGGAGCTGTTGGACGACGACGTGTTTGCGGCGAAACAAGCCAGGAGGGAGGCCAAGAAAAACAAGAAGTCTGAGAAGAAGAGCTCAATCAGTAAAGAGAAGAGGAAGGCGTTGAAGCAAGACGTGCTCAAGTCGGTACAGACGCCTCTGATTGCTAGTTAAGTTGTGTTCTAAGCATCGCTGCATGATACGGCGCATCTGGTGTTGGCGTTCAGGAGTCCAAAAGATGAACATTTATGTAATGGTATAACTTGGGCGCTCCTGAACAAAGATGGAATGGTTCCGCCCAAGTGAAGAGAAAAACAGTTGTGTGGCAATCAATACAGGCAATGCAAAAGTAAGGACGTCTGTAGTCAAAGTGAAGCTGTAGGGTCAAAGGATGCAAGCACCTGTGTAGACGCCTTGTATGATGAGCTCCGCCGCTTGATTATCTCTGGCCACATGGTATTTAACACACCAGCCATTCTAGACTTGTGATACAAATGAACTGCAATCAGTGTCGTCGCTGTAATAGTTGTTTGCTACATTGCTGTTGTTGTTGTTGAAATGGTCAATGGCGAAAGTCAGTTGAAGAGGAGCAATTCGCTGACAACGTCACCCTTGGAATACGCCAGGTACTTCAGAGCAAAACTATATACAAGTGTGTCTAGGTACATGTTTACGTAGGCTGAGTTAGATAGTCGAGGAAACCAAGCAAATCAAGAGTGTAGGACAGATTACCCGACTATGTGGAGAAGCCGAGGCGCTAGTACTAATTAGGAAGTGAAATTGATGGCACGTGCTTGCTATAGGGGAGTAATTGTATGATTTTCGTAATTGGCCCGGTAACAGTGATTTTTGTTCAGTCTCGTCTCGTAGTCGTCGTCTTCTTCTTCTTCAAAGGAGCCTCGATTAACCAAGCGATCTGCAAGGCACTCCCCTCAATTGGAAGAGGGGGGCTTACATGCTTCTAGATTGACTGATTCGCAGACACGGGGGCTCACGTTACCGAAGGATCGCTCGAATCCGGCTACCTTGATTGACTGATTTGAGCCGAGACGCTGCCACCGTGCACTCTCGCCTGGCCACCACCATTTCCACTGAACGCGTCTCTGCTCCACTTTGGGCGTGCAAGCGTTTGCAGTCGCGTTTAGTTGCGTCAAATGCTGCACAGAGTTTTTTCTTTTACCTGCATGTCGATCGCGTGCGTGTTGGTGCCTGCGCAAGGACCACGGCCTCTCTGCTGTAGTGAGCATGAAGTGTCTGATTTTTCGTTTCGTTGCGTTGCAGCAATTGTGTGCGTGTCAAATGTCCCGGCAGGCGTGCTTCGCATGCTGTAATTGTGGAGTGACAAGTGGGATGGCGCTCCGGCACAGAGGCAAACCAAGTTGTAGAGACATTCGCGAGGCCGTTGTACATGCACCCGTACATGCGCATATATATACCTCTCTGTGGCACAATTCGGTAGCAACCAAGTGCTGCAAACGTACAGAAGAGAAGACGAATTGCTCTCTGCCTTTGGCAACACGATGCACGAGGCATATTGCGAGGCTGGGGGCTGGTGCTGAACGTGGCCCGAGCTTTAGGTAGTCGCGACTTGCACCATTCTCCGCGTTACTGCTTAGTCTCGTCATTGCATGGCTTTTCTCCTCTCTTCATAACCGGCTCGTTTTTCTCTTTCACACAGACTCCCTCGAGCCTACCGTTGCGTCTTCGACAGCCCCTTCTGCATCCGCCGTCACCACCCCCTCTCGGCTGTCACGCCTCCGACTAGTCACGTCTATATTGCCCCCATATAGGCGTTGACACGCTGTCTCGCGTTCCAGGAGCTGAGCAGACGACATGGACGCCTCCCCCAGCAAAGTGCTCGCACAGTCTCCCTTGCAGTCGACTGAATTGCAGCCGGAGCGGGTGAGAAAGGCCACGCCGACCCTTCTTCCGGCCTTCGGCGAGGACGGGCCCTTCTCCTCATCACCCTTCCCACGCCCATCACCCACCAAACGCAAGTTTGACCAGGACTCGCCGACCTTCCCCAAGCAGCTCAAGTACTACCCAACTCCACAGCCTACCTCGTCAACCAACATCATTTCGTCGTCGCCCCGCCATGCCCGGCCGGGTCTGGAACGCACCTTCTCGGCTCTCTCCGAGCGGACCCCTCTTGGTGCTGTACCCACTGTAGACCTTCCAGCAGATGGCGAAATCCTGCGTATGGGCCGAAGCTCCAACACGTCCGACTACCAGCTCTCTACCAACCGTCTCATCTCGCGTGTCCACGTGCAAGCCGCCTACCACGCGCCAAGCACACTATACCCACAGGGCTACATTGAGGTTGAGTGCCTGGGTTGGAATGGAGCAAAGATTCACTGCAAGGGCCGCATCTTTGAGCTAAGCAAGGGTGACACATACATGTCCGAGAACCCGGAAACGGCAATCATGTTGGATGTACAAGACACCCGTGTCATGATCGCTTGGCCGTCTGTCCCCGCTTCTAAAATGTCGTGGGAATCGGAAGAAGAGGGCATGCCCACGCCCACCCGTCGTCGTGCCCCCGAAAACTTCAACTCCAGCCCTCCTCTAGCTCCACGCTCGCCTGTATCGCAGAGCCCTATCCGTCGCCCCAACTTTGCTGCCATCGGCACTAACAGCCTGCCCGGACAGGTCCAGGTATTCGAAGATGTTGATGTCGACCAACGTAGCCCTAGTATCGATACTCCTAATTCTGCAGACCAAACCTTTATCCGGCCTTCTCTTCCAAACCCAAAGGCCGGGCGTGATGCAGGCACTACTGTCGATCCCAAAGCGAGTGTTAATTACGCAGCTGACGACTTCTCGGACAACGACGAAGAAAACGACCCCGTGGTACACTCTTTTGGTCCGTTTGGCCAGAACCTTATTAGCGGTCTCGAGTCGTTCAACGCAGTCACGCCTTTACAACCCAACAACCCACGGATGCGTGCACCGTTGATATCGCCTTCTCCCAAACGTCGCTGTGCAGAGCCCATCCGCTACAAGGAGTCTCCCATTAGGAACCACGTCATCAATCAGCTGGCATTCTCTCGTATTCATTCCCAGCCTTTATCTGCCATTCACAGCAACCTTCCGGCCGAGTTGAAGGCTTGCATTACAAAGAACACTGAAGACAAAGACGCGGAGGGCGGTGTAGTAACACCTCTACCTCAGCTAACGGCACAAGATCTTAAGAAGATCCTGGATGACACACCTTGCGTCGGTGAAATTCCTCGTGCTGGAAAGGACGCTGCCGGTCAGCCCCTCGAAAATGAATTCTACTACGTTCCCGAGATGGATACCAACCAGATGAGGCGAGAGACTATTACCGCCGGCACTCGTAGCACTGGTCTGCGATCCGTCAGAAAGACACACAAGGTATGGACTAGTCTCACACGTGTGCTTGGATGCTGTCATTGAATTAGTGGCTAACTGATTATAGCAATACTACTGGAAAAAGCCTCGTGCCTAAAGTGCTCGCCATTACGACCGCTTGTTTCTCAATATTTCATGACGTACTCACCAGTCATCTATCCCCACTTCTTGTGCTTTTGTGGCGCCGATCCCTGTCATCATCATGTAAACCCGAATGTTCCGGGGAGACATAATGGACACCATACGCACTTACGCTGCCCATAACATTTTTAAACTTCATACTTGTTTTAGTAAACTGCATAGCGAGGCGTTACGATACCATTTTACCCGCTCTTCCCGTTGTATGTCGGAGTCTTTGAGTTTGTTTACCCATCCCCCTTTTCTTGTTTGACATGCATCGTCCTCTCTCCCTGCAATCTGACGATCATGTTGATTATTTGTTGGTGGTTTCACGGCGGATAAAATCAGATGTGTTCAACACCAGTATACCTTTTTTCCCTTTTTTTTTCTCCATATCTACAACATGTTTTTCATCCTCGCGATCGGTCAGGAGCTCTTTGGTGTGGGTTGTTATCTCTCATGACAGATTGGAGTGTACATCTGTCAATACACACGACTACACAAGCTATGACAGGTATGCTTAGAATGAGGGGCAAATTCGTTTTTTTTCCTGCTGGCTGAGTGCTTTTGTTTTCTTGTTTTCTTGTTTTTGTTTTGCTCTCCCAACGTTCCAGGGCCCCGCCTTTTTCTGGGGTTTTCTTTCATCCTTTTGCATGAGTACTTTTTTTTGTTTTTTATCTCTCTCTTCTCTGTTTGAGTGTGTAAGAGTTCTTTGTTTGCCATGTCGTTTAGTACAGTACGAGCAGATTATCAGTTGCAAAAAAAAAATGGATAGTTTTGTCGGCCCCTACTATGTTAGCTAGATTTGTTACCTCGTTTGTGTAGCAAAGCTGTGCAAACATTAAATCCATTTTAATTGTGATTTCCATTCCTCTCACGACTCTTTGCATCTCATGTTCATCGGTACATCCCTCCACAACCACACTATCGCTTAGTACTCAGCTCCTCATTAGTCCTCTTTTTAGTCCCTCTACTACATTGGCCATGACTGCACAGCAGCAAAATTAATAACATGCGTCACGCTGATGCTTGCCTGGACAGATTGCACACTTCCAACGTCAGGTTTTGTGAAATCTCAATCAATGACGTAATCAGTGAGCGAGCATTACACGTCTTCACGTGACCTTAATGGCATCCAGCCAAACGATGCACTGGTGCAATCATCGCGTTGAATGAGTTCCAGGGACATGCCGAGGGGACGGAAAGATTCGAAGCTGTTGGGTGGGTGTTTGAATTTGATCGATTTCACTCTACATGCCCAGTTCCCTTAGTCCAGTCTCACATCCGAGATAAGACCAGCACGCCGCCACGGAGGGTGGCAAGTGCCGCGAAAGTAGTAGTGACCTTGCCCTCATATCCATCGCATGCAATCGTTGCAATTCGTTTCCACCGTGCCCGATACTCTCTTCGCCAGACGCCAATATAAGCGAATCGTCTATTTGAGCTTCTTCTTGGGGCGGAGCTGGTTGGTGTGACCGCACTTCTTCTTGCGCTGTGGGTCGTTAGCCGAGTTGTCCCACGTTAAATATAGGATCCTCAAAGAAGACGAGGCAAACGTACGCAGTTGACAGCCCTCGGTGGTAGACGTGCGTAGCACTTGCGGCAGATCATCTTGTCGCAGTTGTACTTGGAGGCAAGAGCCTTGAGCGAGGGCTCAATGATACCACCACGGAGACGGAGGACCAAGTGGAGTGTTGACTCCTTCTGGATGTTGTAGTCGGCAAGAGTACGGCCATCCTCGAGTTGCTTTCCGGCGAAGATCAAGCGCTGCTGGTCCGGGGGAATGCCCTCCTTGTCCTGGATCTTGGCCTTGACATTGTCTGTCCATGCTTGTCAGTCCAAGTTCCCTTCCAAGCTAACGTCTCTGCGAGCGTTGCATGCGATGCGTTGCGCTGCGGTCGTCTTATCGATCGAGGACATGCGTACCGATGGTGTCAGAGGACTCCACCTCGAGGGTAATTGTCTTGCCCGTCACTATGGAGACATTAGTATAATCGCAGTAAGTATATAGCGATAATGCGACGTACGGGTCTTCACGAAGATCTGCATGTTTGCGGTGTTGCTGGATCTTGGTGTCGAAGTTCGTCGATTGAGCGAGGCGAAGTGGAAGACGAATTGGCAGTGTGGGCGTCCGAGCGTTGGGGTCTAACGTCTCAGAGACTAGCGCTCAGGCTTGCCCCTCACGTGCGCTCTCTTTCATCGGACACCAAGAGGAACACCAACACATGGAATTATCTGCATCTCTAGTTTGAACTTGTTATTTTTTTAATAAAACTCTCATAGGTATCGGACTCAGTCATTGTGCCTCGTTGTATTCATGTCACGGACATGTTAATCCACACTACGTCTCATTGCAAACGCAACCTGTCAGTAGGGAAACGTAACATCAAGGGCAAAATATTTGATGGTTTGATTAGAATACTCTACGAATCATCTCAATTCTGCTGACTGTTTTTCTCCTGTTGCCTTCTCCACTGCTCCACCCTCGCCTCCGTAAATCTTACTGCTAGCAACAGCATATCCATCGGCAATCCCGCTAGTCTTCCAATCTTCTCGTAGAATACATTTGCCGCTTCAGGGAGATCTTCTTGTGTCTCCCAAATCGGATACGCTTGTCCAGCCCTCAAAACCTGCCCACTTTCATCTTCCGTATTTGGCACTGTTGCCATCATACTATGGACTGACTTGACAACATCTAATTCTTGATGCAGGGACAGCTTTTGATAGGAGCTCTTTGTCGGGTGTTTGGCCTCCTTTTCTATGGGAAACATTTCAAAAAGTGCATCCCGGAAATAGTCTGTGTGCTTTGTGCGTTGAATTGCTGCATCATCCAGAAATGCATCCGCATAGAAGTCAAGATACCGGTCCATATCTTCGGATCCCATGGAGAATACGTCTTTGTTTTGTAGCTTCACCATGTCTTCGGTGGTGAAGCGCCCAGCGTCTGTTTGTTTGTCGTCAATACCGCTCATCTCTTTGCACCAAACATCCCAATTTATCACCGCCACAGTCTTTCCCGCCGCAAACTTCCAGTAAAGCTGTTCTGGACTGAACGGACATAACAGCTTGGTGGATACGATAAGGCAGCTAGCTAGCTGCGCTTCGGCAATGTATCGTATGCCCATTCGTTTCTTGTTGTCGTAGTGTGGGGCGAAATCATAACTTAGCAATTCTGCTAGACGCCTCGTTGTACCATACAGTTCCAATGGCAAAGCGAGCTCTTTGAGGTAGCGAAACAAGAGTAAAGGAACGTTCAGGGACGGCCATATGATTCCGTGATCTGCATCGTAACTTATTTGCAGATCTGTCAGCAGTCTGTAGAATCGTGTGTAGGTGAATGGTGCACTTGGGTCGAGGACCGCGCGATACACAGGTAGTAGCCGGTCTCTCATAGGAAGTGGCACCAACTTAATAGCTCTCCAATAAGGCAACTTGTTATCCGTGACCCATGCGTGAATATCGCCCGGCGTGATGGGTAATCTCAATGTTTTGATACCAAGATAGCACAGTAAGAGACAATCGTTGAGATTCGGAGCAGTAGACAGGACCTTGCCTCGTTTTCTCTTTACGCCATGGATATGACTTTTCTCAGTATCCGTGACATCATCTTCGCTCTCTAGAGTGCTGAAAGTCTGTGATTGGGGCTGCGAATCCGCATTTGAATTTTCGTTGGAGGCGATTCTGTTTTCGAGCTGAGCGATACGTAATGCCCAGAGGTCGTAAACGACCGTTTCGAGTTCTGCAGGCAGTCCTTTATGTTGCACCAGGAACCATATTTGGTGGCGCAATATGAGCTGCAGACACTTCAAGTAAAGATCAAAAGCCTGTGTGCCTTTGGGAATCTTGCTGGTTGTCCTGTCATCTTCTTCCACCTCTCTCTTTTTGCGTGTGACTGTCCGGGAGGCTGTTCTGTAGTCGTCGTCGTCTTGCCCGTGTACTACACCGGCTTGCTGATGTCCGTTCTGGCAATAAAGATGTGCATCCTCGCCTTCTTCATAGCGTCTTGACCGGCAGTTGTCGATGCCGCACACGGGACCTTTTATTGCCATAGGGATAAAGTAGTTTTGTCTATCTCGGGCTAATCGAACTGACTAACGCCGATGCACTAGGCGCTGTCGGCAATAGACAAGATGCGCTGCCTAGCCAAAAAAATACTGCTATATTTGCAGTCTAGCTCGAGTTGACATGTGAAGGTTAGTATTGGCACGGACACCATATGTTTAAAGTTGCACGTTGTGGTGAGTGGCGACTTTGAGAAAGTAGAAGGTCGCTGTTGATTAGCGCGAAAACGAAAATTCCCTTCGCAGCCAATGAGGGGTTCGACATTTGCCATAACAGCATCACCTTTTATTCATTGCCATAAGCATAAGTGATATTTGGAGACAGGGAAATGATTCATGATACGTTTCCCATACATGGCAATTCAAAGAAACCAAATCCGTCCGAAGAACGTCCAGCACGGGTCGCCCGGCGCAAATCGCCGAGGAGAATGCTTCGTTTGCCATAAGGGTGCAACTTTGCACAATGCATGCAAAGAGTGTTGCAGCCCCATCCGTAAGCTGTTCGCATTCTGCGCTTCGCATCCTGCCAAACAGTCTACAAAACCAACCCATCATTTATTTGGGAGCCTCCTTGGCGTCAATGGCAGCCTCCTCACCCATGGCAGTAAGGACAATGACGTCTGGTGACTGGTTAGTATAAAATGTTGGCATCGGCTTCCAAGGTGTAACTCACTAGTGTCCTTGCCTTCCTCAGTGAACAGCTTGGTGATCTTGTCGCCAACCTCACCATCGGGAACCTTGACGTCGTCCTTGGTAGCGCCGTCGTCGGTCATGAGGGAAAGGAAACCGTCGTCAGTAACGTCGAGCTGTGTGTGTTGTTAGGCGAGGGGTAGTCGCAAGACGTGCGGGGCTACTTACGAGCTGGTACTCGCGACGCGTAACGTTGGGGACGTCCATGTTGTGGGTGGAAGGGCACAGTTCTTCGAGCTTCTTGCCAGTGAAGAGGTCAATGGCGACCAAGTGGACCTTTGCGTGGCCGTGCTTTCCCGTCTTGGAGGTGCTCATGTCGACGATCTTGCAGGGGCGGTTCTTGATGCAGACGAAGCCGTTCTTCCTCAAAGCAGAGCACTGCATGGGGAACGTCTTGGAGGCACCGGCATCGGCGCTATCGAAGGTGTGCTCATGCTATAGCAGGCCATTAGTATGCGAGAGGGAGTGGCAGCGCACGAGGGTGAGACAGGGCGAGGCGCAAGCGGCGACGATGGTCGACCAAGGTGGGGTAAAGAGAGCACATGCGGGGTTCAAGTCTGAAGAAAACGTACCTGCGCGTCGTTGTCGGCCATGGTGATGAATGAGAGTTGAAAGCGACGGGTGAGGAAGAAGGAAGAGGCTCAAGTCGGACTGCTGGGCGAGAAGCAGTAGGGAGTGGGCGGCGGTACTTTAATGGGGATGGGAGAGAGAAGCCAGCCAGCGTTTGTGTGCATTTTTGATTTTGGACAGACGCTAACGCCACGCACAGACCAGTGGCCGAGATGCCAGCCTTGTCGGGAGGGGCGCGTGGGAGGCTTTCCTTTCCGCCGTCGAATCGTCGTATTTTTCACCCTGTGTCTAGTGTGCCCCTTGTCTTCTAGTAGGCATTACTAGCATACCTTGCCTGCCTATACCTGTGGGCAACCCAAAGAAGCGCGCGCCTGTCAAAATACCATGGCCGTGTCTTGTTGGTGCACATCTACTTAACCCCCCCATCTTTGATACTGCTTTTCTTCCCTCTATCTTGGTTACTTCCGATACTTGCGTAGGCCCTCTTTCTTTCCCTCCCTCTACGCTGTTGGGCATGCATACATACATAGCAAGTGGGGTCGACATCAAGTCTACCGCGTGAGCGTACTTTGTCGAATACTACTACTACTAACACCACCAGTATTCCGACAGGACAGTAGTCAATCTGCCACCGCCCTATAATTGTACCTCGTCAGCAAAGAGATCAAGGCGGCTGCCGACAGCGTATGGCAACAGCAACATCATTAATTTTCCAATCCCCAGAGGTGTTCTTGTTCTAGACACTGCGTGCAGCCACTCTTGACACTGTACTATCTCAGTGGCCAGGGGCGGAAGCTCTAGCAGCGCCAAGCCCCGACTACTCCAACGACTACCATACTACATCCACCACCACCATTACCTGTTCGTGTTGAATTGAATTCTTTAGTGCGCCTGTTGCTGTTGCACTGCTCTTACTTGCCACATCGCCATGTGGGGCCTGGATAGGCTCTCTCAGTACTCGACACCCACTGGCACGCCTCCTCCACGTCGCGACTCCCGTTCACCAGCTCCCCGAAGAGGCTATCCAGTCTCGGCCCAGCCCGTGAGGCCTGGCCTAACCCCCCGCTCCTCCTCGCTGACGCAGCTCGTATCCCCTAATACCTCCACCGCGAGCTTGCCGCTATCTGAGCGCCTGCCCAATGGTGGACTACGCAGGCGACAGACAGGCGGCGCGCCGCCAAACGTCCCCGATCCCATACACGTACTCGAGGCTATCATGGGAGGGCCACCGCGCAATGGGCCGACAACAAACGGACATGGTGCCGGGGATGTGCCTGGGAAGCCAGAACAGTTGGACGAGCATGTTGATTTCCAGGGCCTGAGCCTGCAAGACTTCGTCGCTGACAAGCCTGCTGAGCGACAGCCACCTACTTCTGTACATACATATAGCGCACAGTCAGTTGAAGAATGTACGTGTTGTTGTTCTGCATCGCAAGTCTTTGCTCATTGTGCCTCCAGATGACAAGGACAAAGACACGTTTGAAGACCTACACAAGTCTATATTGGCATGTGATGAAGTGCTCAAGTCGGTCGAAGCCAACCTTACACACTTCCAGTCTGATCTCGAAGCCGTGTCTGCCGAGATAGAGTCTCTCCAGAACCGATCGATTGCGCTCAACACGAAGCTGGAAAATCGCAAGGTGGTTGAGAAGCTACTGGGGCCCGCTGTAGAAGACATCAGCATCTCCCCGGCTGTTGTGCGCAAGATTGCTGAAGGACCTGTTGACGAAGGCTTTGTGCGTGCCCTTGCAGAAGTCGAAAAACGCTCCAAGACGATCCGTGATAAAGCCCAAGAGAATCCCGACTTGATGGCTGTCAAGGACGTCAAACCTTTGCTAGACGACCTCATCCATCGCGCCGTCGAGCGAGTACGAGACTACATAGTGGCGCAGATCAAGGCCATCCGCTCCCCATCTATCAACGCACAAGTCATCCAGCAGCAGGCATTCTTGAAATTCAAAGACTTGTACGCCTTTCTCGCAAGACACCACGCAGAGCTTGCGCAGCAGATTGCCCAAGCATACATACACACAATGCGTTGGTACTATCTCAATCATTTCACGCGCTACAGAACAGCACTTGAGAAGATCAAAGTGCATGCCATGGACAGATATGACATCTTGGGCGAAGACCCAAGCGCCAGAAGAAGCGGCACGCTACTCGGTCAATCGCGAAGCGCACCCACATCCTACGACGCCTTTTCACTTGGACGACGACGCGATGCGTTGAAAAGCTCTTCGGCCAATGCTCTGCCAGCAAACGTTGCTGAAGACGAAAAGTCTCCTCACTATCTCGAAGTCCCTTTCCGCAGCTTTAATCTTGCCCTCATCGACAACGCTTGCTTTGAATACACCTTTGTTTCCACATACTTTGCTCCTGCACAAAACTTCCACGCCATCTCGAGGACCTTCAACTCCATCTTCGATCCCACACTAGCAGTAGGACAGGCAGTTACAAAGTCACTCGTGGAATCGACCACCGACACCCTCGGTATCCTCCTCTGCGTGCGCCTCAACCAGCACTTTGCCTTTGAGCTACAGCGGAGAAAAGTGCCAACAGTCGAAGGCTACATCAACGCAACAAACATGTTGCTATGGCCACGCTTCCAGCAGGTCCTGGACATGCACTGTACTTCGCTCCAGAAAATCACCACCTCGCTACCCGGTCGACCCTCCACAGGCGCAGCTCTGCTATCTTCCGGCTCCTCCAGCGCAGCCTCGACGGCGCCGACGCCCCTTACACAAAAGTTTGCAAATCTACTCCAAGGCATACTGGCGCTCTCGTCAGAAGCAGGTGACGATGAGCCTGTCAGTGTGTCCGTGGGACGACTGAGGAGCGAATACGAATCTTACCTCACTAAGCTAAGCAAAGGGATAAGCGATGCTAGAAAAAAGGACAGGTTCCTCTGCAACAATTACAGTCTGGTGTGTACGATTCTTGCGGATGTGGAGGGCAAGCTTGGGGAGGAGATGAGGGAGCGGTTTGAGAGACTTAGGGATTCTTTTGACAAGTGAATCCGACCATGCAATGGATGATGTAAGCAGTCTTGTTTGACGTTTCACAACATGGATATAAGCAGTGACATGTCGTGAATTGGTAGTACAAGTCTATTGGTGATATGCTGGTCTCTACTCGGTTTTCTCTAGGCTCCTGTCCACACAAAAGCGCGACAACGTGTTCCTCGCCATGTAACCATTTCGATCCATGTATCCATTCCAATCATCCTTCCCTTGTTTTTGTTTTTATTTCTTGCTAAGCTAAGCCCTCAGTGGTGCCCAGTCCTTGATCGACTGCTCAGACATGAAACCACCAATGTATATAGACTTGCCCAGGCTGAAACCCTTGCTCCTCAGTATCATGTACATGGCGTTGAGATGGAAGTAGCTGTTGGGAACGACAAAGTCGTTTGTGAAGCTCTTCAGAGTGCTCATGTGTAGCGTCTTGGGGCCAATTTCGACATCGACGCCCTTTTCGGCGCTCTCGTTGTACGCATTTGCGTCAACGGCCTCAAGGACGGCGAGGAGCTGCTTGAAGAAGCTGATGACATCGTCGAAAGAGGAAAAGGTAGAGGGGTCCAGGTTTGGTGCGGTAGCGGACTCGGCGAGCTTAAGGGTCTGGATTCCCACGAGTTGGAACTTGGAGAGGATAATGGGTTGCATGCGGAAAGGCAGCATGTCGCCGAGTTGGGCGTTAAGCACGTCGCTCTCGGATGGCAGGTTAGCGTTTTCCTTCGAGAGCTCCTCTTTGGCGGCGGTGAGGAAGCCAATGGCGCTCTTGGAGATGCCACACATCACCGGGACGGTGGCATCGTAGAAGGTGAGGGAAGCAGACATTGTGGAGACGTAGAGATATATTTGGTGTATGTGATGAAGAGAGAGAAATTGGGGAGAGAAGGTGGCAGAAGGGGAACAGCGGAGGCTATACTTATCTGCCAACCATCTCAGAAGAGATCTCCCCACCACCCGCTAATACCTAGATTCTGCGACGCAATGATCCACTGGTTGGTTGGATCTCCGCAACCCGACGCGCTAATGTGTTACCGTGATACTCGGCCTCGAGTCGTTAGCGCCATGAGCTGGTCGCTGGTAACCTTGCCGAAGCATCGGTAGCCATTGGACCAAGGCCATTGTCCAGGGGTTGAACAAGATTCCGCCGCATTAGAAGTGTCTAGAAGCGTATTAGGTGACGTTGATATCGCTTCGCGCGACCATTTTGGAAAGTTGGCAGAGCGCTTTGTGCAATGGTGGTGGAGGGGCACGATGCGAGTGGACATTCCCGCCCACCAGGCCAGGCCCCGCCAGTGGCACGGACCGAAGAATTCGACTACTTGCCACCCGGACATTTCGGCCTTAACGCAGAGGCGATGGCCACCTCCCTGCTACAGGCTCGACAGAATCGATCTCGTTTGCAGTAATCTACACTGATCTCAGACTCTTCCAAGTTTCCACTTTGAGTATACAGAATGGCAAAGCGCAAGCGGACCACGGCGCACTCCAATGCCGTCAAGAAACAGGCAAATGGCATTCCCAGTCCACCCCACGAGGCAAGCCCACTTGAGCCAGCTTCCGTTCATTCGGTCATCTCGCCAGAGGAGATTGAAGTTGCCGTGGATACCCTTAGGGCCCTTGCCGAGCATCCTCTCCTGATCAAGTCAAAGGCATGCAAACATCTGAGGACTGCTGTATTTGACTTCCGTCAGGCATGCACTACTGGCCTAAACTCAGCTGGTACGTCTAAGGTGGCTTGCTCCAATGGTAAAGGCTAAGCAACATCATAGACGGCAGCAATCTTACTGCGCGGATATCTGGGGCGCTCACAGACTCCAAGTACAGAGATGCTCTCGTCTTGCTGGCCGAGATGCGCATCAGGAAAGAGACGCCAACACTGGGTGCTCTTTGCCGCTGGGTGCGCACTTTGGATGTTGTATCTGGACTCAGCATTCACGTGCAAGTGCCGAATCACAGAGTCGTAGGTGCTAATGCTGACAATGACCAACTCATCCAAGTCCTCGACTCCATACTCCGCGTCACAGGCCCAACAGATGTGACAACTAACGGTGCAGATGCACCTGCAGGTATCTCGCTACAAGAAACATGGGACTTGCGAAGTACCAGCAAGCCCACGCGCCAGGTACGGAGTAGCGTTGAAGACAAGTCCATCTTCGCCTCATGTCCTTCAGATCTCAAACAACACTTCCGCATCATCGAGATTACCGAGGGACTTCAGCGCAAACCACCCAATCTCCATCCTGCCATTCTGTACGCCTCGCAAGACGATACTGTCCTGCTAGGCAAAGGACCTGAGACAGAATGCTTCAAGCATCCTATTGTGCCTAACCTCCGTCTGATCAAGGATGTGCTCTCCCCCGACGAATGTTCTGCAATTATCGCCGCCGGAGAGACAATGGAATTCATACCCGACGCCCCGATGCGCCCACAGGGTGAAGATACCAGTGTGCTGGCCCACAACTTTTACTGGATCGTCGATCAAGCCTTCCACGACAAGCTCTGGGATCGAGTAAAGTCGTTTGTGCCAGACAGTGTAGCAGGCAAGAAGGTTCGAGGTATCAACCGCCGCTTCAGGGTATATCGATATGTGCCAGGTGCAGAGTATCGCTGTCATATCGGTACGTTCAGCCGTAACTTTTGCAAGTTTCCAGAATGATCCACTGATCTTTTTTCTGTTGTTCAGATGGTGCATGGCCACCTTCAGGCATCGATCCTGTAACAGACAAATACCAATACGATGCCTCGCCGCCCGATGCCCGCCAGTCCTCCCTCTTCACCTTTCTCATCTACCTCAATGACGAGTTCAAGGGTGGTGAAACGACGTTCTTCATACCGAGTGTAAAAGAGGGTGTGATCAATGCTTACCCCGTCAAACCTATCATGGGTAGTGTTGCTGTGTTTCCACATGGTGAGGCTCAGGGTGCACTGCTACATGAAGGTACGGGTGTGGTTGAGGGCGCAAAGTACGTCATCAGGACTGATGTTGAATACGATGTCGATGCTACTACATAAAAGTTTTGCTCAACCTTTTCTTTTTTGGACATGTTCAATTACCCATTCAGTGTATACCAAACTTGGGCTGAATGTAAAATTGTTACTTTCCTTTGTCTGTTAGCATATCTACAAGTATCATCCTGCCATCCTGCCAACAAGGATCCGATTGAAAATGCATTTTCCAATTTTTTCCATTGATTAAAAAAAACTACTATATGTACCTATCAACCCTACCCGCACATTGCCCTACGCAAACAAACAAGAAAAAAAAGCCAATGGCGATTGCAAAACAATAACGAAGGAAGACATACCTGCTGAAAGGAAATTAAGAAAAAAAGTTTGAATTAAATATCCATACCATAAAGATTTCCCATGCTGTGTTCTAAAAAAAACAACGAAGTATAAAAAAGAAGAACAGAAGATGGACCTTGCGACAACTACCAGAGTGACGCAACTACTTTTTTCTTTTCTCCTCCGAATAACGCCTGTTTACCGGGAAGAAAGGAAGAAAAGGGGGGGAAAAGAAGAAGAAGAAGAAGAAGAAGAAGAAGAAGAAGAAGAAGAAGAAGAAGAAGAAAAGGCGACAGAAGA